AAAAGTTCCTGAAGGGGTCTACTGTTTAAAAACAGACAATTTATATAAAAAGGAACATGATAGGTTAAATTACAGGTTTCTTTTGTGATCGGCAGCCAAAAATCTGTAAGATATATCGTATTTTCCGGCGTATAAGACGACTGGGCGTATAAGACGACCCCCGACTTTTCCTGTTAAAATATAGGATTTGGGCTATACTCGTGTATAAGACTGTCCCTCTTCCAACGCACACCAAATAAAAATTAAAAAACATCAACTGGCTCACCCACAATGTAAAAGCAGCTGTGCTAGACCCAAAATGGCCCTTGCAACAAGCAGGAACCTCACACAGCCACAAAAAGCCCAAAAAAACAACTTTCACACTTTACACACACAAAATTCCACATACAGCTTTGTGAGATTTTGTGTGTTTGTGTAGTTAGAGTGAAACACTACAGAAACATACTAAATCTCAGAAAGCTGCACAAATCTTATTTTATTTTATTTTATTTTTATATGAAAACTAAATTTAAAACTTCCTAAACTTTAAATGGCTAGGTCTAAAAAAGAACAACTAAAAAAAACCCCAATTAACTATTTTTTTTAAAGCTCCCAAAGGGGAAAAAAACTTACCCAATAGAACAGGGGTCTCCAACCTTGGCAACTTTAAGACTTGTAGACTTCAACTCCCAGAATTCCTCAGCTAGCTTTGTTTTGCTGGCTGAAGAATTCTGGGAGTTGAAGTCCACAACTCCCTGCCTGCTTGATTGCAGGCAGGGAGTGGCTTGCTGATGGATTCAGGCAAGCGAAGCAAGGCAAGCGTTGCGACTAGCAGCTAAGGTAAGCAAGCTGGAGGGGGAAAACTTTTTCCTTTTACATGGCTCTGGCGATCCCAGCTGCGTTGCTTGATTAGCAGATCGTCAGAGCCATTTAAGGCTCATCAGAGCCTTTCGGGCTGGTCTGCCTGGTTACAGGAGAACAACACCCGGCGTATAAGACGACCCCCGACTTTTGAGAAGATTTTCATGTGTTAAAAAGTCGTCTTATACGCCAGAAAATACGGTACCCAAAAGTGTTCAGGTAGCAAAATCTTTATTGTCCAATGATATTATAAAGACGGGGAAAAGGAGTCCAAAGAAAATTATCAAGGAAGATGATGATTTCATATTATAGTTTGACAACTAAATGGTCAAATCTAGATTGGAATGTTGAGGGAGACTGTAATCATTCAAAGCAGGGTTTACCAACTCCTGTAATACCAGTAAGGTTATAAAATTAATCAAAAGAAAGAGAAATGGCAACAAATCCCCCACGTTAAAAAATAAAATTATTCATACTCTATGTGAACTATCCCTCTACAGTTCCCACTGAAATGAAGAAAAACTAAGTAGCAATCTTTATATTATGGTAACAACTTGATAATAAGAACTCATAAGAATTGTATTTATGTTATTAAAAAGAGAAAGCTATTTTGTTCTTGCTGCAACACTATCCCAAAATCTGCAGTACAATTAATTTTATGGCTTCATTTATTTTTATGGACCATTTGAAAGCAATGGCAAACTGCTTATTGCTGCTAAGAACACTGCAAGGAACCTTTAACAGGAACTTTTTCTATTTTATTAGATTCCTCTGTTTTAAAAAAATTAGAAACATAAAAGAAGTTTGATAACTGAATATCCCCAAAAGAAATATTCTCATAGAAATTTCTTTCACCAAATAATTGAGAGGGATTAACTTACACAAATTTCATAACTGGATTGTGATCACTTTCAAAAGCATTTTAAGAGCCTGGGTGGCGCAGTGGTTAGAATGCAGTGCTGCAGGCTACTTCTGCTGACTGCCAGCTGCCTGCAATTTTGGCAGTTCAAATCCCACCAGGCTCAAGGTTGACTCGCCTTCCGTCCTTCCGAGGTAGGGAAAATGAGGACCCAAGTTGTTGGGGACAATAGGCTGACTCTATAAAGTGCTTAGAGAGGGCTGTAAAGCACTCTAAAGCAGTATATAAGTCTGATGCTATTATTTCTTTGCCAAGGCAGGATTTTCCTTAGCCATAGCATCTATTGAATTACCAGACTGCTGTCCCCCCCAAAAGGTACTCATCACCTGGTTTCAAAGTTCTGACAGCTGGGCATCGCCCCCCTTGCAGTCACAGGACAGTGTTTTGAATGTTCAGCCACTGGCCACATTTACAATTGTTTGCAGTGCCCTGTGGTTATGTGACTGCAATTTCCGGTGATTTTGCCAAAAGTTGCGGCAATAACTGGTCCATAGCAAACAGTGGGTTTGCTTAATAACTGCCACATTCATGTTATGACTGCTGTATTCACTTAATGACCGCAATGAAAAAAAGTTGCAAAATTGGGTCAGTCAGATGATGACCCGCTTTATGACAGTCACAATTTGTAACCATAATTGCTAGGCTCAACTATGGTCATAAGTCAAGGACTACCTATATCATGGCTGAACCATCACTGAATTAGTATGGATCAGAATTGAGTATCTTACTGAAAGTGTAAGGAAGCAACTTAACCCTAGAGATATTATTTCTTTGCCAATTAAATATCTGCAGTTTCCTAAAACAAATTTATGTAAACTTAAAATATTTAATGATAAATAAAAGTATTATATTGTAATAAAATAATCAAAATTTACAAAAGCAAAGCAAGCTGAATATTGTAGCATAATAGTTTTAAATCATATTCGATGAAAAAAGTTGTAGTTCACAAATATATGCCTATTAATAAAATATGTAGGTACAGCTTCCCTGATACAATGTCTATAATAGTTTTATCTGGCTGGCCATAAGTAAATTTTAAAATATGAAGTAGACTTTAACTTCAGTAGGATAGGCAGCATTTTAGACCCAAAGGTTTAACTGGGTTTGTGTTTACACAACACCCCAATCCTTATATTCTGGTTTACAAACTGATCGACTAGGTTCACACAACATACTTAATTGCAAATTACATTTGTGTTTGCCATGTGTAAACTTATCCATAGAAAATAGTTCCTGTATTTCCCACAAACTTTCACAGTGAATTCTGACACCAATGGACGCATGGACAAAACTTGTGACACTATGCTTTCCCAGTGTTGCTGATTAAATTTAAAGATGTGGGTATTTCTCAGAAGGACCAAAATTTTTGGTCTACACAGGCAAACCCTAATAGAGAAGTTGAAAGAAACATAATAGGCATTTGAACAGGAAATAAAACATTTAGTGTAATGAATGGAGAGGAACCTCGTTCTAAAAAATTCAGGCCCAAAAGAGTTAAAGGAAAGCCAAACTTTAAACCTGCTAATCTAAGTCCTGTACAGAAACAACCCTGGAAAGCCTCCTATTAAATTGCTAATCAAGAGCAAAGAAACTTCTTTAACACAGCTTTTAAAAAGGGAAGAGAACTCAATAGAAACAAACTTAAAGTGAAACGCTCCAAACTCGATTGCAGAAAATATGACTTCAGCAACAGAGTGGTCAATGCCTGGAATGCACTACCTGACTCTGTGGTTTCATCTTAAAACCCCCAAAATTTTAACCTAAGACTGTCCACTGTTGACCTCACCCCATTCCTAAGAGGTCTGTAAGGGGTGTGCATAAGAGCACCAGCGTGCCTACCACTCCTGACCTAATGTTTCCTCTACTTGTATCTATTTTATGTATTCAATTAATGCTTATAATTATATAAATTACCTAATACGTTCTTGACAAATAAATAAAATAAAGAAAGAAAATTAAATAAAAAAAATAAAAAAATAAAATAAAATAATAAAATAAAATAAAATAAAATTTGCATCCTTGTGTCCCTCTATGTCCCAGGAGGAGCACCTATTTATCTGCTACTTCTAAAGTCAGTTAAGCGGGGAACTGAAATTGAGGTTGCAAGAAACCAATAACAAAGGTGAGGATTAGGTTCTTGATATTTTCAGAGAAATGGCCTGCATTTTGGCCTTTTAGCTTTTCTTGGTCTGTATATTCTTGTCTGGAGGAACAGTCACTGAGGTAAACCCTGCGGGCATCAATCTTTTATTTGCCTTTCTCTTTAACATTCAGTTCTGGTACCGTTCCAGAACCTTGATCCGCATAATAAAATCTTACATTTCTTATTGAGCCAGCCCTCTCATGCCAATAGGGAATTTGGCTTTCATCATACGTCTTAGCTGCCATGCCTAAAAGTACGGATAGAAAACAGAGCAGTAGAAGGCTAAATCAGGGCAGAGAAGACATTCTCTAGAAGAAAGCAGATGGTGGCCTATTTACCAATTAGCCTAGCTGCCTAGCATAGTAGCAGCAATTCTTCTTCCCACTTTGTATCCAGAAACTGAAGGCAATGATCCCAGCACTCTTTCGTTCAGTTATTTCCTCACCACATCCCTGTGAGGTAGGCTGGGATAAAACTAACTGGCCAAAAATTGCTGTGTAACTTCCAGGGCTGGACTTGGATTATTCCTCCAGTCCTTGTACAGCACCCCAATTGCTTCATCATACGGGCTCTTGGGAGTTGCAGATGGTGGAGGAAGGTTGTGGGGAGAGGATGTAGGGACCCCGCTTATTGGAGCCTGCGACCCCTGCCCCCAACATCCCTCTGCTTTCCAAGTGCAAATGAGTATTGCAATTAGCAATTCTCCTGAGAAGAGTTTGATTTGAGAGTAAGTTACACAAAAAGACAAATCACTCCTGTGCTTTTAAAAGTCATGATAGTTTAATTACTGACATTCAAAGAAGGCAGGGTTTCTGTTTACACGTACTTCCCTTTTAAAAACAGGAATAAAGTCAGCCAGAACATAAAAAGGAAGAATCTACCAGATTCTTCTCATTTGGGATTCAGTAGTATTGAGGGGAGGTTGTGCAGAAGTTGAGTGTCTGGAAGGTAAGTGGTTTGCCAAGCCTATTTATGTGGCTGTCGAGATCCCCCTTGGCTGGAGCTCCACAATCTAACACGGGAGCATTTTTGGTTTCGTTTCAAGCTCTCACTGGGCATAACAGAAAGCTATGCAAGGGAAAACATTGTAAGCGTGACTTCCTATGCCGAAGCCCTTTCTGTTGCATCCAGGACAGGCTTTTGAATGGGTATGTATATAATTTGAGATGGTTTGCAGTGAATTGTTCATTCACTTCTGGGCTGTAAATATTTTAATTGTTTATGGTATTATAATACATTGGGTTTCTTTGCATATCATGTTATTTCCATTTATGCTTAATATTAGATACAGAATACATAAAGTCACTGACAACTTTTTGGAATAATTTAATAGACTTTTAGGAGATATGGTGACATTGGGCTTGGGATGCTGCTAAGAGAATGTTTTGAAAAACCTGAATGTAATATTATCCTGATATTAACGACTGGATTCAAGAGATGTTTAATTTATTTAGTTCAAAAAGGAAATGTTATCTGTTGGTCAAAAAAGGATGTAGTATGTTTTCCTTTTGCATAGATTTCATGACTTTTTACAATAATTGAGTATTACCATTTTTTTTCTTTAATTTCAATACTTTTAAATATTTAATGGATATGTGATATGTATTGATAGTTTGTAATTCCTTTTAGTTGTTTTTTTCTGTTTATTTTCATATATATATATATATATTATACACACACACATATATATACATATATATTATACATTATACATCATATTATGTTATACTATGTGTGTGTATGTGTGTGTGTGTATATATATATATATATATATACATACAACTGATGAGGGCTTATAAATCCGAAATAGATCTATCTTAGTCTCCTTAGTCTCCCAAGGGCAGCAGAGTACTTGCTGCTGCCTGAAGAAAAAAAGCCTAGAAACCAGTGGATTGGGATTTCACTGAACTAGGGCTGCCTAAAAATCTTGGTTTACGTAGGAAGAACCTGGCTAAAGAGAAATACATACATGTATGTATGTATGTATGTATATGTATATATGTATGTATATGCAGTTGTGCTCATAAGTTTACATATCCTGGCAGAATTTATGATTTCTTGGCCATTTTTCAGAGAATATGAATGATAACACAAACACTTTTCTTTCACTCATGGTTAGTGTTTGGCTGAGACCATTTATTATCAATCAACCATGTTTACTCTTTTTCAATCATAATGACAATTGTGCGCAAAGCGTGTGCACGAAGCGAACCGGTGGTAACACCGGTTGGAACCCACCACTTCCATGGGGGGTGGGATGGAGGGAATAAGAGCATAGCTGTTAACTCAGTGCTCTGAAGTACGTCCACTTGTTAAAACAAAAATAGAGCAATGTGGAAGAGAATATTCTGGGAGAGCAACTTATTACATTGCCTTTTAATTAAAGCCATACCCACCATTATAACTGTTCTGTTGAATGGTCACCCAAATATACTTTCAAATTTCCAGAGTTAGCTCCATTATATATGATGTATAACTGATAATGTTGATATATAAAGAATGCTTTTGGTTTTCTGTTGAATAGCTCATAGATTCTTTCCCTGTCAGTCCCCAAAACCTTTAAAATTGACTCCTAAAGCATTGATAACACAAGGCAACACAAGAAACTCTTCGACTTACAACCACAATTGAAGCCAACATTTCTGTTGCTAAGCAAAACACTTGTTAAGTGAGTTTTGCTCCATTTTACAACCTTTCCTGCCACAGTTGTTAAGTGAATCACTGCAGCTGTTAAGTTAGTAACAGGGTTGTGAAGTGTATCTGGCTTTCCCATTAACTTTGCTCGTCAGAAAGTTGCAAAAGGCAATCAGTTGACCACGGGACATTACAACCAACATATAAATATGAGCTACCGGTAGTTGCCAAGCGGTTGAGTTTTGATCCCGTGACCACAGGATGCTGCAATGGTCATAAGTGTGTGAAATGGTCACAAGTCGCTTTTTTCAGTGCTGTTTTAACTTTGAATGGTCACGAACGAACTGCTGTAAGTCAAAGGCTGCCTGTACAGAAAGTGGAAAAATATAGGCATGAAAGTGTAATTTAGTAAATTAAAATAAAGTGGAACTAGATGGTAAGATTTTCAAAACCAGCAAACCAAATACTTTATCCAAATAATAGGATATTTTTTGTAAAGGTTGCTCTACCTTCAAGAACTGGTTTCTAACAGTTCTAGACCGTCTGTTTACAGCCGTGATGGCGAACCTATGGCACGCGTGCCACAGATGGCATGCAGAGCCATCTCTGGGGGCACGCGAGCTGATGCCCAGGTCAGCTCCACCGTGCATGCCCGCCGCCTCCCACTGGCCAGCTTATTTTCGGCCCTCTGCATGTGGGGGGGTTGTGCGTGTATGCGTGGGGGAAGGATGGGGGTTGCGGTGCCCCCCCCGTGCCCCATTTTGGGTCCCAGGAGGCTTCAGGGAGGCCTGCTAGCATCAAAGCGAGGCATGGGGGAGTGTGGCGCCCCCCCCGTTTTGGTGCTAGCAGGCCTCCCTAAAGCCTCCTGGGACCCAAAATGGGACATGAGGGGGTGCGGCATGCCCCCCCCATTTTTGGTCCCAGGAAGCTTCAGGGAGGCCTGTTAGCACCAAAATGGGGGTCACGCGCGTATGCACGGGGGCGTGGGGGGGACACATGTGCATGCACAGGGAGTGGGGGAGCACGGGGGAGTCACATGTGCATGCACAGGGGGCGGGTCTGCGGGGTATTGCATTATGGGTATTGGCACATGTGTGTGTGCTGTTGCGCGTGCGTGTGTGCTTGCTTTTGGCACATGAGGAAAAAAAGGTTCGCTATCACTGGTCTACAGTATGGTGTTTTCCAGCTGGAGTTTAATTTCTATTGTCACTAGCCAGAATTTGACAACTTATGGGGAGGTGGTCCAGCTAACTAAAAGGAAACTAGACTGGGGTTGATCAATAGTTACACAGGTAGCTGCAAAGAATGAACTCCCACCTGTATTGTTCACCTTGTCTTCACTGTATTTTTAATTCTTTAGTTCTCTTGTACGTTTGATTAAACTGTTGCCTTCTCCTTATCCCTGTCAAATCTCTTCCCTTCTTCTGTTTTTTTTTAAATGACCTTGATTGTGCCCTTCTGCATGCCACAAGGTTTATATAATAGAAAATGGTTTTTTTTTCCAGCAAGATGTGGACAGACAAATTAACTTAGAAGATTGGGCTGAATTGGTTTGCACACCTTCATTATTATTTTCCTTTCTTTTTTTTTTTTAATCATAGTTCAGGTTTTCTAAACACGAACCAATGGACCTGCGTGATTATCAGTGGGAGGTGATTGGGCCTGCTTTGGAAGGAAAGAATATAATCATATGGCTGCCAACAGGAGCTGGAAAGACCCGAGCGGCTGTCTACGTTTGCAAGAAGCACTTGGAGAGTCAAGATAAGAACAAGGTGGTTGTGTTAGTCAACACAGTAAGTACCAATAGATAGAGGGTGGTGGAAGATCGTTTTCCAAAATCCATGGCTTCTTGGATTACAAACAGCTTAGAGACGAAACACTTTGGACCTCAAAATTCTCACCAGGCTCAAGGTTGACTCAGCCTTCCATCAGGGTGGATTTGATTTAAATCGAGTTGATTTAAATCACGATTTAAATCATGATTTAAATCACTAGTAAAAAGGCTTGATTTAAATCAACTCGATTTAAATCATAATTTTTAAAGAGCAACTGTCATCTCTGCTACTCCTTTGACCCACTGTTGACTCACCGATAGTCCCAGTGTTGCAGAATATACAGCCTCATGCTACATAACTAAGCTCCATTTCATGCTGAATAAACTAAATTATTTATGTATCTTAAATAGAAAACTATCTTATGATAGATTTTTACTCCAAAAGTTTTTTATTAAAATAAATTCGATAAAAATCAAAAAAATCCGATTTAAATAAAAAAAATCCGATTTAAATCAAAAAAATCTGATTGTTTTGATTTTTTTAAAAAAATCATTGATTTTTATCCACCCTGCCTTCCATCCTTTTGAGGTAAGTAAAATGAGGATCCAGTTTGTGGGGGCAATAAGCTGACTTTGCATAAAATAGAACACCGCTCAGGGGCCCCCCAAAAGCCCTACTAAGCAGGTATATACAAAAGTATGAAGGCTATTGCTTAATGCATTGTAAGCCACCCTGAGTCTCCGGAGAAGGGCGGCATATATAAATCGAACTAATAAATAAATAAATAAATAAATAAATAAACAAGTACAACACCTCTGTTAATTTTAAAAGCACCCCCTTTTCCAGGTTTCTGAACAAGTTAAAACAAAGGAACAGTTTTTTTTTGTCTTCAGGCACACGTACATCTGAAGAAAAGGAGTTGCTTTAACAGAAAAGAGTTGTGCTCTTTCCAGTTCAAAAACGCCTCTTCCCAAATATTTTGGAAACGTACACAGCCTAATGGTGTCTGTTTTATCCCCTGGAAAATATTTCACTACAGCACCTTTGTCCTGGCAGGTACCTCTAGTCGACCAACATCTGAAGAATGAGTTCAGTTTCTTACAAAGTCAATTCCAAATTACATCTATTTGTGGTGATAGTATCCAGAAGCTATTCTTCTCAGATATGGTAAAGAGCCACGACCTGATAATCTGCACAGCCCAAATCCTGTATAATGCCCTCAGCAACCAAGAAGAAGAAATGCATGTGGAACTGACTGGTGAGTAGTCAGTGGTAGGGTAAGGGTAAGGGTATTGTGATGCACAGAGATATAATGTCTGCCATAGCCTGGAGTTCGATCCTGATGGGGCCCAAGGTTGACTTAGCCTTCCAACCTTCTGAGGCCGGTAAAATGAAGATCCAGATTGTTGAGGGCATATGCTGACATTTTATAGCAGCCAGAGAGTGCTACAAAGCACAATGGCGCAATATGTAAGTCTTAAGTGCTATTGATATTGATGTAATGTGACTCATTCTAACAGTTTTGCTCATTGTTTTGATCAAAATATATTTAATCAGAATTATTTAATCACTTAATATAACAACCTATCAAAATATGCTCTTGTTTTGTAATTGCATAATAATTAAATACAAGCTCTCACACAATCTATACTCGGCATTCTACTGAATCATTTTTAAGACCTATCTACTCTAGAGACATGAACTTTTTGTATCTGGACTGCAAATAGCAATCAAGTTATAAGGAGCTGCCCCAGATTCCTGTTCCACAACCAGATCACTTTATTTCTTGGAATACAGGTGGTCCTCAATTTACGACTACAGTTGAGCCCAGAATTTCCATTGTTAAGCAAGACAGTTGTCGAGTGAGTTTTGCCCATTTTGCAACCTTTCTTGCCACCGTTGAATCGCCACAGTTGTTAAATTGCTAACGTGGTTGTTAAGTGAATCTGGCTTTCCCATTGACTTTGCTTGTCAGAAGATTGCAAAAAGACAACTGTATGATCCCAGGACAGCCCAGCCGTCATAAACATGAACCTGTTGCCAAGCATCCGAATTTTGATCATGTGACTACAGAGACGCTGCAACAGGTCTTAAGTGTGAAAAACGATCATAAGTCACTTTTTTCAGTGCCGCTGTAACTTTGAATAGACACTAAATGAATGGTTGTAAGTTGAAGACTCCCTGTACGTGGAAAGAACTTCTATTTATTAGAGCCTATAGAAAAAAGTGTTCTGGAGAAGGAGTAAGACCATGTTGTGGCCCGTCAGCGGACTGTGAGGATTGTAGCTGATTCTGACAGCGAGGAGGCTGGTGTGGTGCTGCGCCAGCAGCCTGTGCAGCTTGCACTCGAGTCAGACAATGCGGAGGCTGGAGAAGATGTGGTGCCAGAGGCAAAGATTCAGCCAGGGCCTTCAGAACCTCCAGAAGCTCCTTTAAGTGAAGAGGAAGGAGAGGAGGAGCCTCTTCTTTATGCACGGGCGCGCAGAGCTGCCAAAAGGCAGGAGTGGCTCCTCAGGAGGAGGTCTCCTCAAGAGTAAGGCTTGGGGCTAATTGGCCACTCCCTTAGCCTATTTAAGGAGGAACGCCAACTGAAGCAAGTTGTAGGGAATAACTTTAGTTCATTCTCCAAGCAGGTTATAGCAGATTCACAGTAGACCATTACTGGAACAGTCACAGTCTCTTCAGGGAAGGGGAGCAGCAGCATACAGTAATAATAATCCAGTTTTAGCTGTGAATCCCCCATTCAAGCTCACGGTTGTCTCTATTGTCCCAAAGGTTTTTTTTTTTTTAAAGAGGCAACTGGACTTCTTGGTTTTTCTTTGAAGACATTTCGCTTCTCATCCAAGAAGCTTCTTCGGCTCTGATTGGATGGTGGGGAATGGAAGGATTTATACTCCTTGCAGACAGCTGGTCCTTTGCATTCTTTTAGTGAGTCGTTAAGGTCACCTGGAGGTTTATCTGTGTCATCAGGGTCACCTGAGTAACAATAACAGAGTTGGAAGGGACCTTGGAGGTCATCTAGTCCAACCCCCTGCTCACGCAGGAGACCTACACTAGGGATTCGAACTGCCGAACTGCCAACCTTTCTGATCGACAAGTTCAGTGTCATAGCCACTGAGCCACCTGGTGCAATTGAGTGTGGAAACTTCTTGGAACTGTTAAAAGGACTCTGTTGTAGATTGGAGATAGATGATGTCGTTGAGAGAAGGCTGTTCAGTTTTGACATAGATGGCTTCTTTGACCCCACTTTCAAACCAGCTGTCCAAAATGTGGACTTCGCTGTCTTCAAAAGAGTGGCCTTTGTCTTTTAAATGCAGATGGACTGCTGAATCTAGTCCTGATGCGTTTGTTCTCCTGTATTGTGCCATGCGTTTATGAAGTGGTTGTTTTGTTTCCCCAATGTACAGATCTGCACATGGCTCACTGCATATACCACGTTGCTCAGTTTGTGTCTAGGTGTTTTATCTTGTGGTTGTTTTGTATCATCTCTATTGTCTCCTTTGAACATTGCCCTTTGATCACTGATAGAGCAATTGGAACATCCAGAAATTAGCAGATCTTCCTTCTGAGAGCAGGGAAAGAAGATCCAAGTTCGAAACCGCTTTTGTGGAATCTTCCACAATCTTGGGGGATAATTCTTCACTATCAAAGTCCTAGTATTAAAGAAAATGGAGGTGAATCATATTTGAATATCACAATTTTTGGAGACCCCTAGCAAAGAATGAAACACAAATTACATTTCAATTTAGCCACATTTCAGGTCGCACTCTTCACTGAGAACTCTGTGACCAGTAACTGACCTACTGGTAATTTTTCTGGGAAGTAAGATGGATAATGAAGTAAATGGAAAGGGATTCCTTTCCATGGTTAGCAAAGTTTGATCAATAATTGGGAACGGAATCTCTCCATTTCCCCTTCCATGTTACATTGTATGTCTACTCTTCTCTAAATCCAATTGCCAAGTGGCTTTTTAGAGTTAGTACTATAACCGAAAAGTTACACCATACGCTTGCAAAGCTCTGTTATGCCTAGTGACAGCTCCGTGGACTTTGGTTTTTGCTAAAAAAAACAAAACCAAGAACTGGTTTTAACTGGAGCCCCAGCCAAGGGGGAATTTTGACAGCCACAATCCACTTGCAATAGAGACATTCTGCCTCTTGACAATCCTCCCAATGTTATAGAATCCCAAATGTGAAGAAACTAATACAGCGGCCCCAAACTTTTTGAGCACCAGGGACCGGTTCCATAGAGACAGGTTTTTCCACAGACCAGAGGGGGCATGGTTTCACATGATGCCTGCATCTCATGGATGGGGGCTTCACTTGTTTGTGTGGCCCGGTTCCTAGCATGCCGTGGCCTGGTACCAGTCCACGGACCAGGGGTTGGGGACCCCTAAATTCTAATTCTGCTGTAGCTAGGAAGCCAGCTGGGTTACTTTGGGCCAGAGGTGGGTTTCAGCAGGTTCTGAGCGGTTCTGGAGAACCGGTAATGGATATTTTGACTAGTTCGGAGAACCGGTAAATACCACCTCTGAGTGGCCCTGCCCCCATCTAGTCTCTGCCTCCCGAGTCCGAGCTGATTGGGAGGAAATGGGGATTTTGCAGTATCCTTCCCCTGGAGTGGGGTGGGAATGGAGATTTTACAGTATCCTTCCCCTGCCACACCCGCCAAGCCACGCCCACCAAGCCATGCCATGCCCACCAAGCCACGGCCACAGAACCAGTAGTAAAAAATTTTGAAACCCACCACTGCTTAGGGCCTGTTACTTTCTTTTAGCCCTAGAAAGAAGGGACTATAAGAAACCACTTCAGAAAATATTGCCAAGAAAAATGCAAGGACTAATATGGCTATTTCCCAACACTAGCATGAGTGGGGTGTGTGTGCACATGCACACACACGCGTGCCCCTGCCAGCCACTCAAGCAGCCCGGTGGCCAACAGACCATGGTCCAGTAGTGGGCTGCAGCCCACAGCTTGGGGACCCCTAATATAGACACAATATAGCATTTGACAGTTTTTTCCAAGGCTTTCATTGCTATTCTACCAAATACTAGTCTATGCTTTATTTCCTGACTATTGGTGCTTTACTGCTGATAATCAGTCCTAAAAGGCAGAAGCTATCTCCCTCTTCACTATCAATTACAAGACTAGTTGCTGTTCCAGTTGTCATTAATTTGGCCTTCTTTGTGTTTTAGTCCCTATTTTTTTCACTGTGTTCCTTGACTTTCATTACTAAAGCTTCCAGATCATTTCCATTTTCAGCTATTAAACTGTGTTGGGTACAGTATAAGCACAAGTTGTTGTTTTCGTCCAATTTTAAAACCATACTCTTCCAATCCAGCTTTTCAGGAACCGTAACAGAGTTGGAAGGGACGTTGGAGTCCTTGCTCACACAGGAGACCTGTACTAGGGATTCGAACTGCCTACTTTTCTGATTGACAAGCTCAGTGTCGTAGCCAATTGCATATTTAGCATACAGTTTGATCCTAAGTGGATCAGGGGTGGGTTCTTCTCACCTTTACTACCGGTTTGCAACAGGGCCGCACGCATGCGCAGAAGCGTTCTGATGATGTCGGGGTCGGTGGGTGGAGCCTCCCTCCGGTTTTACTACTGGTTCTATAGAACCGGTCCGAACCGAGGGCAACCCATCACTGAGGTGGATCCAGAGTTCGATCCTGGGTAGAGCAGATATTTCTCTCTCTGGGCACGATGAGAATATATCTGCTGAATATAACTTCGCATTGGCGACACGAAGGGCATCCGGCCAGTAAACACTCAGCTCCATTCAGTTGCCCAGACTCCACCAACACAAGGGATAATGGGGTAATTAAAAGGAGATGATATTCAGCATACAGTTTGAATAAATAGGACAGATTATAAAGCCTTGTCCCACTTCTTGCTGCCAAGAAGGTACCACAAAGATTGTGGCTTCCTATCCGATGTTTAGGTTTCACATAAGCACAAAGAGATAACAATAGCAATAGCACTTAGACTTATATAGTTCTTCATAGTGCTTTACAGAACTTTCCGAGTTTGTTCTCGGATTACTGTTTTTCTAAACCCTGTTCATCGATTAATATGATTGACACATCCAAAGGCCTTTCTACAATCAATGGAGGACATAATGACATATTTCTGATTTTTCCCAATTATCCAGCGTGTGTGTCAGCATTAATATCTTTTGATATTCTAAAACCAGCTTGAATATGTGGTACGGGTAGTCCTCAACGTACGACCACAATTGAGCCCAAAATGTTAAGTGAAAAAATTGCTAAGTGAACTTATTCCATTTCACAAAGTTTCTTGCCTCATTTGAATGAATCACTGCAGTTGTTAAATTAGTAGCATGATTGTTAAATGAATCTGGGTTCTCCGTTGACTTTGCTTGTCTCAAAGGTCTCAAAATGACTCCTGAACCCTGCAGCTGTCAGAAATACGAGTCAGTTGTCAATCATCTGAATGTAAAACATGTTACCATGGGGATGCTGCAATGGTCATAAGCATGAAAAATGGTCATTATTTTCAGTGCCGTTGTAACTTCAAATGGTCACTAAATGAACTGTTGTAAGTCGAGGACTATCTGTATCTTCCTTTCCATGTTGGGCTTTAATCTGCCGTTGAAATAAACAATGCATCAAAACCACCATTTGAAGATCTCCAAGCAGTGGATTTTGTCTGCTGCAGGCCAAATTTATACCTTGTCACCTCTCGCCTTGACTACTGCAACGCTCTCTACATGGGGCTCCCCTTGAAGAGCACCCGGAGGCTCCAACTGGTCCAGAATGCAGCAGCGCGGGTAGTGATGGGAGCAGCATGGCGCTCCCATGTAACACCGCTCCTGCGCGAGCTGCACTGGCTCCCAGTGGTCTTCCGGGTGCGCTTCAAGGTGTTGGTTATCACCTTTAAAGCGCTCCATGGCATTGGGCCTAGCTATCTTCGAGACCGCCTGCTGCTACCGACGACCTCCCATCGTCCCGTGCGCTCCCACAGAGAGGGCCTCCTCAGGGTGCCATCAGCCAATCAATGTAGGCTGGTGACTCCCAGGGGGGGAGGGCCTTCTCTGTGGGGGCACCTAACCTCTGGAATCAGTTGCCCCCAGAGATAAGGAGAATCCAAGACCTTAGTGCCTTCCGCCGTGCCCTTAAAACCCACATTTTCCAGCAAGCTGGGCTGGCTTAAGAAGAAATTTTAAATGTTTTAATTGGTTTGTATTTTTAATTTTGGGCCAAATTTATATATATTTTAATTGTTTTTAATATTTGTATTTCATGTTTTTTAATTCTGGCTGTACACCGCCCTGAGTCCTCAGGGAGAAGGGCGGTATATAAATTTAAAAATAAATAAATAAATAAATAAATAAATAAATAAATAAATAAATAAATACCTTAATATGCACTATCAACACAAATTATGTAAAGGTGATCCTCAACTTAAGACCACAATTGCGTCAACTTTTTTGTTACTAAGTGAAACAGTTGTTAGGTGAGTTTTGTCCCATTTTATGACTTTTCTTGCCCCAGTTTTTAAGTGAATTACTGCATTTGTAAAGTTGGTAACACGGTTGTTTAGTGAATCTGACTTAATCTGACTTCCACATTGACTTGCTTATTAGAAGGCCACAAAAGGCAGTTACATAACCCTGGGACACTGCAACCGTCATAGATATGAGTCAATTGCTAAGCATCTGAATTTTGATCAGGGTGACGATAGGGATGCTGCAACGGTCGTCAATGTGAAAAATGGTCATAAATCACTTTTTTCAGTGCTGTTGTAACTTTGAACGGTCACTAAATGAACTGTTGTATGCCAGGGACTACCTGTACTCTCCAATTCAGCAGATATTCCTGAATAACGACATTTCCTTCCCACAGGCAGTCTATTAAAAGAAGAATGCACTATAATTAGCATAAAAGCTGATTTATCACTTTCTATATCTTGTGCAGATTTCTCTCTGTTGGTGATTGACGAGTGTCACCACACTCACAAAGGAACTGTTTATAACAAGATTATGGAGAACTACTTGGACCGCAAGCTGAAAGGCCAACAGGATTTACCTCAGATTTTGGGACTCACAGCCTCTCTAGGTACTGGAAGTTCAAATACCTTGGAAGCAGCTAAGGCCCACATTCTGGAGGTGAGTCTGACAGAAGACAGTCGGCTCAAGTTTGGTGGCATTCTGGGTTCCTCTCTTTTTTTCCCGTATAGACATAAGTTTGGAAGTTGCTTTGCATTGCAAACACAGTTCTCTTTCATACTGATAGTGGGATTTTCAAAGAGCAAACCATGTTTCTCTGAAAATAAGACCTATCCAGAAAATAAACCCTAGCCTGTTTTTTTACACGTGTGCCTAATATAAGCCCTACCCCAAAAATAAGCCCTAGTGAAGGTGGATAGTCGTGGCCAGCAAAGGCGGTGAGCGTGCATGGGCCGACAGTGTGGCAACAACCGCAGCCCACGCACCACATTACCTGTGCAAGCAGCAGGAGCAGAGCAGAGGCAAGAGGGGGGAGGCAGGCAGGTGATCTGGATGTGCCACACAAGCTGTGGGAAAGCCAAGCGTTGGTGGGCTGGAGCAGTGGGTTGCCGCAGGAGGCTCATCTTGATGTCTCTTGGCTTGCCTGCAGTCTGCGCTGCGCATCGGGATCCCCTGCCTTCAGCTCTGCATGTCGGGAACAGAGGCAGGAGGGGAGCAGAGGCAGGAGGAGGAGGCAGGTGATCTGGATGCGCCACACAGGCTGTGGGAAAGCCAAGCGTTGGTGGCAGAGGCAGGAGGGAGCAGAGGCAGGAGGGGGAGGCAGGTGATCTGGATGCGCCACACAGGCTGCGGGAAAGCCAAGTGTTGGTGGGCTGGAGCAGCGGGTTGCCGCGGGAGGCTCATCTTCATGTCTCTTGGCTTGCCTGCAGTCTGTGCTGCGCATCGGGATCCCCTGCCTTCAGCTCCGCATGTCGGGATCACCTGCTTTCCACTCCGTGTCTTATGCTCTGCGCAGCCTCAGAGTGCGCCAAGGGACCGGCAGGCTGCAGCTGCTGCCAGATACCATTGGTCCCAGCATGCTTGACGGCTCTTGTGTGTGCGTGCTGAGAGGGTGGTGCGTCCAGCCGGACTGATCACTCTGAAATCATGTTTCCCCAAAAAATAAGCCCTAGTGCTTATTTTGGGGCCCAAAAGAAAATAAGACAGGGTCTTATAAAAACCTGAATCCTTGTCATCTCCAGTTAAGACATATCAAGTGCTTTCCCTGGGAAAAAGAAGATAAGGATCCAGGACAACTCTTCCTCACTGGCTGCTCCTGCTCTTTGAAATATTTAAACCTCCAAAATAAGGAATGCCTTCAACATCTTGGCTTCAAGAAGCATCCTGAGCATTTGGTTGCTGATGGTACTTGGGCAGTTTAGTTTAGTTTAGTTTAGTTTAGTTTAGTTTAGTTTAGTTTAGTTTAGTTTAGTTTAGTTTACTTTACTTTACTTTACTTTACTTTACTTTACTTTACTTTACTTTACTTTACCTTACTTTACTTAACCTTACCTTACCTTACCTTACCTTACTTTACTTTACTTTACTTTACTTTACTTTACCTTACCTTACCTTACCTTACCTTACCTTACCTTACCTTACCTTACCTTACCTTACCTTACTTTATTGTCATTACACATGGTACAACGAAATTAAATGCCGTCTTCAGTGTACATTATAACTATAAAAATAAAAACACAAACATTCATCCTTTACATTCTATATAATTGAAATTGAAAACCCAACATTGCACTATACCGTAGAATTCAATATGGTTATTGCCCTGGGATAGAAGCTGGTTTTCAGCCTTTTTGTCCTTGTTTTTATTGACCTGTACCGTCTGCCAGATGGTAATAGTTCACAAAAAAGGGTGCCCAGGATGAGATGCATCTTTAAGAATGTTTTGAGCTTTCTTAAGGCAGCGGGAGCTATAAAGCTCTTCCAAAGAGGGGAAAGGGTAAGCAATGATCCTCTGGGCAATGACGTTGACCCTCTGGAGTGCTGCCTTATCTGCCACCATGCAATTGGCAAACCATACACAGATGCAGTAAATTAAAATACTCTCTATGGTGCAGCGGTAGAAGGTCACCAGCAGTTTTTCATTCAGTTGTTGTTTCCTGAGAAGTCTCAGGAAGTCTAATCTCTGCTGGGCCCTTTTGACCAGTGCTGCAATGTGAGTGTCCCAGGTCAGGTCCTCTTTTATGATAACACCCAGAAATTTAAAACTGGCCACTTGCTCCACTCGGTCTCCATTGATAAGCAAGGGCTGGATGTCTGATCTATTAATTAGATTAATTAGTTTAATTATATAATTCAGATTGGTTGGGATATCGGTTGTTTTTATTGATAAGGATTACTACTGTCAATCACTTCAAGTCCTTGTGAACCGGGCAGCTTATAATTCACTGCATGTATAAATACACAGGCAAATTTGTTTTTGACTCCTTCAACCACCCCATCACTTAAAGGCATTCCAACTGGCATTTAAGACCAATTGGCTTAGGCCTATTTCCTGAAGTAGTCACACAGCTGTGATCATTCTTTCCAGATCTGTGCTAACCTGGATGCTGAAAGAATTATGTCAACACATAAACAGAATCTGGATGATCATGTCCCATGTCCCAAGAAACAGTACGATCTGGCGGAACCAAGGTTGCAGGTAAGATCACCAGGAATCTGTTGGAAAAAAAACTAATGAGCAGTGTAGATGAGAAGGTTAACATTTCCTCCCACCCCACTTTTCTCCTTTTATCATCTCCAGGACCCATTTGGAGAAAAGCTCAGGGAGATAATGACCCAGATTTATACTTACCTAAATGTACCTGACATTACTGCAAACTTTGGTACCAAGGTCTTTGAGCAGCAAATTGTGGCGCTTGAAATGAAAGGTGAGAATCCCACAGGAGGCTTTGTAATACAGGTAGTCCTCGACTTAACAACAGTTCATTTAGTGACTGTGCGAAGTTACAATGGCACTGAAAAAAGTGACTTATGAGCAGTTCTCAGATGACCATTGCAGCATTCCCATGGTCATGTGATCAAAATTTGGATGCTTGGCAACTGACTCATATTTATGGTGGTTGCAGTGCCCTGGAGTCATGTGATCACTTTTTGCAACATTCTGACAAGCAGAGTCAATAGGGAAGCCAGATTCACTTAACAACCGTGTGATTCAACTGTAGATTCACTTAACAACTCTGGCAAGAAAACTCACTTAACAAATGTCTCAGTAACAGAAATTTTGGGCTGAACTGTGGTTGCAGGTTGGGGACTACCTGAATACATGGATTTGGAAGAAATTTATTTATTTATTATTTATTTATTTATTTATTTTTATATGCCGCCCTTCTCTGGAGACTCAGGGCGGCTTACAATGCGTTAAGCAATAGCCTTCATACTTTTGTATATTTTATACAAAGTCAACTTATTGCCCCCACAAACCGGGTCCTCATTTTACCCACCTTAGAAAGGATGGAAGGCTGAGTCGACCTTAAGCCTGGTGAGAATTGAACTCGCAGTAATTGCAGGCAGCTGGATGTTAAATGCTGCCTTAGTAGGAGGCATTAGCCTCCTACGCCACTCAGGCTCAGAAATGTTCAGAGACAGATTGAATATCTTCTTGATTTTTTTCCCATCTCCAGCCCTATGTTAGTTGTACTACCTAGAATACATGTGTGTCAACCATCCAATTAGCGAACCCAAAATAAGGAAACGCTCTTGAGAAAATTGACTTCCCAAAAGTAAAACTGTATTGGATACACCATGTTGGTGCTAAAGAAACAAAACCAGCTCTGGTTTCCCGCACAAATGCTTGCCCAGTGAAACAATACTTTCTCCTTCTCCCCACCCTGGATAATCACATTTTCCAATTATGAGATGTTCTTTTGTTACGGGAACAGTCCATCTGAACAAGCACCTGCGGTGGTGACCTTGATAGCTGCCATGCTCTCAAGATCTCTGCATACATTCTCCACATTTCCATTTCCCTCCCCCCTGTTCACTGGCAAGTTGAAAAGCATTAAGGTTTGAAAGAAGCAAATGGATTCAATCTTCACGATCTGAGTACAAGCTTACAGAAGATAAATTAGCTATGGCTTCTTTGGATGTGTTATTCCCCACCCCTGGCTAATGTGCTGCAATGAACTACAAGCTGCAGAGAAGAAATTACAGCCTCATCTACTCAACTTTTAAACTAGAAACCTTATTTTTTTATTTATTATTATTTATTTATTTATTATTTATTATTATTATTATTAGTTTTACCAACTCTACTTAGATAAGAATGTTCTGTTTTACATATGCAGAACAAGTGAAGAGGTTATAGATGAGATGGACTGAAACAGATCAATGGAAAGATAATGTGACAGACCTTTATCATGACATTTGCTCTCTTTGTGGTATTAAGGAGCAAAAGAATGTTGCCAAAAAACCCGGGTTTGTGCCCTGCACCTTCGGAAATACAATGACGCCCTGCTGACCAATGAAACTGTGCGCATGATTGATGCCTTCAATATGCTGGATGAGTTTTACCACGTAGAACGTGCTACTAAGAAATTAACACAGAAAAGCGAACAATATCTTTTCCAGCTCTTCGATGGTAAGTGTCTGTCAGTAATGGAAATGCTAGAGAAAGAGAAGGGATGGGGGAGTCTCACATTGGTGGAGGTGATGGTGTCGGGTTCTTTTTTTGATTCAGAGTGAATTCCTAGATATCCATTTGTCCCTAACGTGATAAATAACAACATGGTTGCCAAAAAATTCATAGAATTATAGAACTAGAAGGTTTTAATTCAGGTTTTAATTTTAATTCAACCTGCCATGTATTTTGAAAGCCAGGAATGTCTACAGAGTAGTCTGGCTGCCAGCAATTACTAGTTCATTTAAGTTTAGTTTTAGGTTTAGTTTTAGGCTTAGGCTTAGGTTTGGTTTTTAGGTTTTTAGATTTTTAGATTTTTAGGTTTTGTTCACACTGTTGCACTATCCAGGATGCATCATGAAAGGGCAAACTAGCTTCACACACACCCCCAATTTATAGATAGGTGGATAGATAGGTAGGTAGGTAGATAGGTAGATAGATAGATAGATAGATAGATAGATAGATAGATAGATAGATAGATAGACAGACAGACAGACAGACAGACAGACAGACAGACAGACAGACAGACATATACACACACAAAATGCATGGTAGGTTGAATTAAAATTAATTTTAATTTTAAAATTAATGTTTAATGTTTAAAATTAAACACTTAATCTCTCCCCTGGCTCAAGCTGATAAAGGGAGGAAAACCTGTGGCTCAGAGGTGAACACAACTGCCTAATATGCAGGCAGCCCAAATTTGAATCTGAATAAGGGTATGGCTAGCTGATGAGAGCTAAATAGCTTGAAATAGATCTATACTAGTCTCCCTTTATTTCTTTATCAGCAAATATAAATTTAGTATAAAATGGTTTGTCGTGAATGCGACTGCTTGAGGGCTCCTGGATTAGAGATGAAAGGCAAAAGGATCCTCAGGCTGTGCCTTCTGTTTTGAAGAGACCAGAAGAGGAGAGGAGAGGAGAGGAGAGGAGAGGAGAGGAGAGGAGAGGAGAGGAGAGGAGAGGAGAGGAGAGGAATGGAATGGAATGGAATGGAATGGAATGGAATGGAATAGTTGGAAGAGATCTTGGAGGTCTTCTAGTCCAACCCCCTGCTTAGGCAGGAAACCCTATACCACTGTAGGTTACTCTACACCAAGTGGTTATCCAACATCTTCTTAAAAACTTCCAGCGTTGGGAGCATTCACAACTTCTGGAGGCAAGTTGTTCCACAGATTCATTGTTCTAACTGTCAGGAAATTTCTTCTTAGTTCTAAATTGCTTGTTTCCTTGATTAGTTTCCACCCATTGCTTCCTGTCCTGCCCTCAGGTGCTTTGGAGAATAGCTTGACTCCCTCTTCTTTGTGGCAGCCCCTGAGATATTGGAACACTTTAACAGGGTTATCAAAGATGAAATCTTTGAAGGCAAATCTAGAAATAAGAGCATCTTCCACAACTTGTGGACTTCCAGATACACTAAACATGATAGTTGGAAGTATTAGGCACTGTAAACCGTGTTGGAGAAGTTAAATAAAATAAGAATGAACAATAATGGAAAGACAAGACAGAGGAGAAGGATAAATGCAGGTCACGCAACTAAAAACTCAAAGGAATTTTTCAGTGCTGGAACTGCCTGCATTTTAATTATGGGTAGTCCTTGGCTTACAACCATTTGTTTAGTGGCTGTTCCAAGTTAAAAGGGCACTGGAAAAAGTAACTTATGACTGGTCTGTCATAGCATCCCCACTGTCATGTAATCAAAATTCAGTCTCTTGGCAACTGGCATGTATTTACAACGGTGGCAGTGTTCTGGGGTCATGTGATCCCCATTTGTGATCTTTCCAGCCAGCTTCCAATAAGATTGATTCTTCTCAATGGGAGAAGCCGGATTCATTTTAATGACCACATGATTCACTTATCACCTACAGTAATTCACTTAAGAACTGTGGCAGAAAGGTCATAACATGGGATACGCAACACAGCCACCTTGCTTAGCACCTTCTGGTTCCAATTGTGTTTATAAATCAAAGTCTCCCTGTAATGGCTATTACTGTCATATAATCTACCGCACTCTATATTAGTGTTAGGTTATGTTTTTTCTTGTCGTCGTTCGTGTGATTTTGATTTTCTTATTCACTGCTACCTACGCTAATCTTTTGGGTTAAATGCTAACCAAGATACAGGATCAAGAAGTATTATAGATACATGTCAGATTCAGGGATGATTCCCTTGCTGCTCATCCTTATTTGAGACCACACCATGCTTTTGGTTTATAGAGAACAGGTTGTCTCTCTTGGGCCTTGCTAAAGACAGTCGCTACGAGAATCCCAAACTTGGCAAGCTGCAACAAGTCCTGCAAGACCAGTTCCAAGAACTGAAGAGCTCACGGGGCATTGTGTTTACCTGGACACGCCAGAGTGCCTATTCACTACATGAGTGGGTCCTGGGTAACCAGGCTTTGTGTGCACTTGGGATCAAGTCTGATGTTCTAACTGGGGCTGGTTCCAGCAGTCAGACGAAACACATGACGCAGGTAAGTCTACAAAAAATGTGGAAAAGCCTCCATCCCTGTGCTGGGGAACCTATGGCATGCGTGCCAGGGGTGGCACGCAGCCCCCTCTCTGTGGGCATGTGAGCCATCGCCCCAGTTCAGCTCTGCTGTGCATGCACATATGCCTCCTGCCAGCCAGCTGGTCTTCCAGTCTGCGCCGTGCATGTGGGGGGGGCACGTGTGGAGGGCCATGTGCACATGTGCAGGGGGCGGGCGCATGCAGGGGGCTGCACATGTTGGGGTGGGGTGCATGCAGGATGGGGGCATGCATATGCAGGGCGCATGCGCGGGGGCCCCGCACGGATTGCATTTTGGGGGTTCGCACACACTTTGGGTCCGGAAAAAGTTAGCCATCACTGCTCTATCCCATTCCCAGGTCTACTGTAAGTCTAATTGGGATGAGACCCCCCCCAAAAAAGACTGAAAGCCAATTTATAAGGGTATGCAAGGTGACAAAGGACATTCCACAGGCATAATTTCATTTGATCTTACAGGATCCAATCTGAGTCGGTTATTGGGACCAGAGGTTCGTTCTTCCAAGCCTTTCGGGCTCATGCTGGAGCCCATCCTCAGGAATCCAGCACAAGTCCGAAAGCTTGGAAAAACAAACCTCTGATCCCGGTGACCGACTCAGATGGGAACCTGCAACGTTATCCTTTGCCTTCATTCATTTGATCTAGTAAATATTCTTTTCCAAATCAAAGTATAGAAAATATCCAAGAAAAAATATTTGTGTTTAATTTGGTTTGGTATGACCAAGCCAGGAATCAGACAGCTAATTTGATAGGAAATAACCTTTACTCCTTACCTTAATTCCAAAAGTGAAATTAATGCTAAAGCCACAATGGACAGCTCAATTCCTTTGTTACTTGTACATGTTTCAAATGGACTCTGGCTAGCTAAGTTTTAATGCATTAGTTCTGTGCTGTGCAGGGGTGGTATTCACTTATCTTCACTACCGGTTCACAAATGTGAGCGTAGGACCTTCCGCGCATGCGCAGAGTGTCAAAAACAGGACGTGATGACCTCCAGGCGGATGGGTGGAGCCTCCTGCCATCGCCACTACCGGTTCACCTGAACTGGATAGAGCCGGCTAAATACCACCACTGGTGCTGTGTTATGCCAAGCTATTTTTTAAAAAATGCCTTCCTTATTTTGGTGTGGAATAAAGCCCTGTTGAGTAAATACACAGAAACCTTTCACTCCAACATTATTTAAACAGGGGAAAAAACTATTTAGGGCCCCAAAAAACACATGACTTGGGGAACTTTGTTTCAAAACAATATAGTAACTATATTTTGCAGTTTTCTGAAGTTCATTCAGAGGCTTTGCAGGGCAGACTGGATAGGAAACACAACCAGATGAATTAATTTTACTTTAGTACTACAGTGACAGAATCCTGCAAATTTAAAAAGTATATTTTTCCCTTCTCCTTCACAGCCCAAGGGGCTAGAGAGGGTCTTTGCCTCATCCACTAGCCAGCTTTGGGCTATGGTGTTTCATTATCTGATTGCTGCCCAGTCTCCCAAGGTCATTTTCACATACCATTACATACATAAAAGAGCTTCTTTGAATATCAGCAGTCTCACAAACAAGATGACTTGATTTCTCGTGGTTTGTGGCCTGGTAGCTGAATATATCAAGGAACTCCAGCAGCAGTGATCAGTGTTAGAAGCAGGGGTGAAATGCTCCCGGATCGGACTGGATCGCCTGATCCGGTAGTGGTCTTGGCCAGTGGTTCGGCGATCCGGTAGCGATGGTGAAGCAAAGCTCCGCCCACCTGCGCAGATGTCATTACTTCCTGGTTTTAACCAGGACATAATGTGTTTTTTACCTTCTGCACATGCACAGGTCTGTGTGCACATGTGATGCACGCGAGTGAAGCACGCATGCGCGGGGCGTGCGCGCTTCCGAACCGGTAAGGAAGGTATGTAGATTTCACTCTTGGTTAGAAGTGATGTTCGGTGAAACTAAAGTTCTTCCTATGACAACTAAAATGTAATGTAGGGTCACACGTACAAGCTATCATTTGATGTAACTTAGTCAAGAAGTTACATTCGCACTTCCCCATACTTTAAAGCACCTTTTTGTCTTTGAATTGAAAATCTTGCACAGCCCTGATTTATAAGCACTGCTGGGGACACATCAACTTTTTAAGTAGTCATTCCTTAAACCTGATTTTCTGCTCACCAAGGATGCCTCGGGTGGCTCCGGAGAGGAAATCATAGCAAAGTGCAGCCAGATAACACTTTTTTACTACATTATATTACTATACAATAGTACTGATAGTATTGATTTGTTTTATTAGGTTACTACAAAAGAAGAGTAAATACAGTAATGCAAAATGACATTTTAAATCAAATTAAACATGCTATTGTTTTGGCAAGACAGAAACATACCAGTGCAATAAAATCCTACGGCACAGAATGCCTTAAGAAAAAAGAAAGGCCTTGCCAGATGTAGTCCATACCAGGAGTAGGGAACTATGGCTCCTTTATGACCTCTGGACTTCAACTCCCAGAATTCCTGAGCCAGCCAGCCATAGTTCCCCACCTCTGGTCTATAGATTAGTTGAATAAGGTCTGGTAAGAGTGTTTAAAGGAAGCCCGCTTCTGCCTTCTGGGATTGAGCATCCCAGTTTCACTCCAGGGTCAAATTAACAAGCTTTCTAATTTTGTCTTGGGTGTTTCTTTCAGCAAGAACAACAAGATGTTCTCCATCGCTTCCGAAAGGGGCTACTCAACCTTCTTCTTTCCACCAGCGTGGCTGAGGAAGGGCTGGACATCCCCGAGTGTAATATCATAATCCGTTATGGGCTGATGACAAATGAAATTGGCATGATGCAGGTCAGTCCGTTTTGACAACCTTATTCCAATGCACCTTGACACCTGCAGAAGGTGTCTGGAAAGGAAAGGAGGAGTTTTGTTAATGCTGGGTCATTGAGAACAATAAGAGTTCAACTGAAGGGTGGTTTTTGATTGATCCATGTATGTTCTTGAGGACAAGTGGAACACTAGTGGGCTTGATCTTTGGAGATGAATGCAGGTGCTCTTCTTTCTCTTTCTTAAGGCCAGAGGCCGTGCCCGTGCCCCAAACAGCATCTGTTCTGTTTTGGCCAAGTCCAACAGCAAGGAGGTGGCCCGTGAGAGGCTTAATGAAACTTTGGAGATCCTGATGGAGAGTGCCATAAAATGGGTGCAGGAGATGCCTGAGACAGAATACCACCAAAAGGTAAAAGAACTTCCTGGAAAGGCCAAGAAAGCGGCCTTTGATATTTAGGCTTTAAGAAAGAATAACAATAAAGTACTAATTTAGTGGGAAACACAGCAAGCCAGATTCTGACATGCTGTGAGAATGTGCTCTTATTTATTCTTTTGCTGCCACTGTACATCACCATAATCGTAGGTCATAGTCTCAAATTACAGTCTTCTAAGTGGGGGGGAGGACTTTGAGCTAATTGTTAAGGATTGGGACTTATGGAATCCCTAATTTGGAAGCCTGGTTTCAGTGTTATCTTAGGGATGTAGCTGGGTACTTGTAAAAAAAAATAAATTGCAAGAATTTTTAGATAGTTCCAGTTCTTATCTGAACGTGGACCAGTTGAGCATTATGGAACATTAAGGATGAACTTCAGGCTATTTACATGGATTTTGAAACAATACGTGCCAGAAGATTGGAGAGTTGTTTGATTTTACAACCACTATCCATTTTTAAAGAATCTTTTAAGAGAAAGCTGTTATAGGGTCTTTTCTTCCAGAGTTTGAGAAGTTACTGGTTCAGTGAGAGGTTTCCAATTCATGTAGTCCTCAGTTAATAACCCCTCATTCTGTGACTGTTCAGAGTTATGATGCAACACAGTGGTGGGTTCCTCCCGGTTCCTTCTGGTTCCGCCGAGCCGGTAGCGGTGACGATATGATGTCACTGAACTGGTTCTGCCCCCCCCACCCCCGCGTTATTCTTACCTTTTATTTTGCCCCACCCCCAATCTATTGCTGCCTCCTGAGTCCCAGCTGATGGGCTATAAGGAAAAAAACTGTTTAAACTCTTGCCGCCGGGCTTCAAAGGGCCACCCTACAGCTGATCAGTGGTAAAAGGCAGTTTGGTGGTAGACCGGTGCCTCCAAAAACAAATGAGTAGACCGGTGCCTGCAAAAATACATGAGTAGACCAGTGTCTGCAAAAAATAAATAGATAGACCAGTACAGCTCTGCAAGCAGTTAAAAGCCTGGTAGACCAGTATCTCTGCTAAATCCTAAAGAATTGTCACATGACCATTAAGCCACGCCCATGAAATAAGCTACACCCACAGAACTGGTAGTAAAAAAATTTAGAACCCACCCCTGATGCAACGGAACTCATATTTACAATTGGGTCTTGGGCCATTCCATCATTTCCATAGTCACATGATTGCAATCTGGATGCTTGACAACTGACTTTTATTGATGATGGTTGCAGCATCCCACAGTCACGAGAAGAGTCAATGGGGAAGCCAGCAGGGAAAATCACAAGTCACTTGAGTAAGGCTTTCCCACTCTGCAGCAACCACCTCCAACCCCCACCCTCCCACTGATGCAATGCCTCACTGGCTTGTCGTGCATCCTTGTACATCCTGCCACAGTCATCCCATGTTCATGTCATGCTACATTAGCTCCTCACGCATTCCTTCAGCAGCCACTCCAAGCCCCATCTTGCTTTCAGCATGCAACACCAGCCCCTTGCATACTCACCTGCACCTGGCAGCAGTCACTTATGTCAGTCTCCTTGCCAACCATCTGGCGCTTGAAATTTCCTGCTGGCTTCCCCATTGATCTTGCTCATTGGAAGCTGGAAAGAAATTGCAAGGAGGTCCTTGCATAACAACCCATGATTGTTGCTTAACAATAGTAACCGGGAGTACTAGGCTTGCCATCACTTAGCAATCTTGCATACCTGCAGAATGAAGTCATAATATACCATATGCATGGGACACAGATTCTTTGATTCTTTCCAATAGATTGCAAAATTGCAGCATGAAGCCATGATCAGCAGGAAATTGCGGGATATGAAACTTCAGCAGCAGCGCCAGCTACACGACCCAGACAGTGTACGTTTCTGTTGCCTAAACTGCAACCTGGCCGTCTGCCGTGCCAGTGACCTGCGCAAAATAGAGAATATGCACCACATCAACATTAATTCCAACTTCAGGTGAGGGAGTTGCTCTGTGCTTTTGGACTCTATTTCCAATTACACTTGGCCATAAAAAATTCTATTCTATTCTATTCTATTCTATTCTATTCTATTCTATTCTATTCTATTCTATTCTATTCTATTCTATTCTATTCTATTCTATTCTATTCTTTATAACATTGGGAAGAGCCAGTGGCGCAGTGGTAAGGATGTAGCATTGCTGGCTAATTCTGCCATGCCAGGAATTCAGTTCCTTCAAGCCTTACCAGCTCAAGGTTGACTCAAACTTCCATCCTTCCAAGATCGATAAAATTGTCGGGGACAATATGCTGACTCTATAAACCACTTAGAGATTACTGTAAACCACTATGAAATGGTATATATGTATGTATGTATGTATGTATGTATGTATGTGTGTGTGTATGTATATGTCTTAAGTGCTAGTTCTATTGGGAAACATGTCTTACCTTCTCCATTTCAATAACAAGTTTGTCTCAACTCTGCAGCAGCCTTCTTCAAGCTGATGCCCTCCAAATAAATTGTGGAATTACCTCTCATGAATGAGAGCTGAGAGAAATAAGAATTGATATCCAATATCTGAAGAGCACTAGGGTGGAGAAGGCTAGTGCTGTGATTCAGTTTCAGAAATAACACTTCTTGCTTAATGTATAGAGAATTAGGAAAGAAACTCACTTTAGCTCTTTCTCTTTGCGGCCCTCCTGAGGTCTTCTTCTATGTATGTGCACACACTGAAGTTAGGTCAGTCAAGAGTCTGGTTGACCATTCCCCAGGAATTTTCTAGAAGGAAAAGGTGCTTGCAATCCAAGTAACTAATAAAATATGTGTACAGCCCCATTTATATAAAAAAGGCATCATTGGCATTGGAAAATCACCATCAGTTTATTGCAAAAGATAATTTTACTTGGAATAGCTTACATACCGTGTTTCCCTGAAAAAAGGACCTACCCCAAAAGTAAGTCCTAGTTTGATTTTTACACGTGTGCCCAATATAAGCCCTACTCTCAAAATAAGCCCTAATTAAGACCCCACCCGCTCCAGGGTGCACAGGTAAAAATTAAGCTAGGGTGGGAATGGGAGGGTGGAGCTGCCCTACTACTTACCTTTGGACATTTGCATCCCGACACCTGCCTTGCTGGCCCATTTCTTCTGCAGCCGGGAAGGCTTTCCTGAAGGCCTCTGCAGCCGATAACAGTTCCGGATTGATCCGGAGCTCTGTTATCAGCTGCAGAGGCCTTCAGGAAGGCCTTGCTGGCAGCAGAAGTAGTTCCTGAAGGCCTCTGACAGCAAAAAGAAGGCTGGGGATGAAGTGCACAAGTGAAGTGAATCAGTGGATGACCCGCCCTGAAAATAAGACCTGGTGCCTTTTTTGGTGGCAAATACATATATACTCTAGGAGGCGGTGCTCATCTCCATTTCAAAGCCGAAGAGCCAGTGCTGTCTGAAGACGTCTCCGAGGTCATATGGCCAGCATGACTAAATGCCAAAGGCGCACAGAACGCTGTTACCTTCCCACCAAAGGCGGTCCCTATTTTTCTACTTGCATTTTTTACGTGCTTTCGAACTGCTAGATTGGCAGAAGCTGGGACAAGTAACGGGAGCTCACCCCGTTACGCAGCACTAGGATTCGAACCGCTGAACTGCCGACCTTCCAATCGACAAGCTCAGCGTCTTAGCCTCTGGGCCACTGCGCTCCTTATATATATATATACTTATATATATATATATAAGACCTGGTCATATTTTCAGGGAAACATGGTACCTTTAACACAACATCTGCCTATCTCACGTCTATAAAAATGCCAAATACTGAAGTCTGAACATCGATTGACTGAGGCCAACTATAATAAATGTTATCCATATGTAATTCCATATGTGTACAGAGGCACTACTCTCAACCTAGGAAGAGAAAGGTCAGCAAAGAAGCCCCTTCCCAAAAATTGTCAGTCAGGTCTTGCTTTTTTTCCAAGAATCGCCTTAGGAATGAAAGATTACAGAATGCCCAATTGTTCTCTATGCAGCCTGTATTACAAAAAGTCACCCAATTGTGTGGCACTTTCCCGCGAATTCAAAGACTGGAAGCCAGGAAGTTCCATCAGTTGTGATAAATGTGGGCAGGTAAGCACAGTTTGAATTCATTTTTTTTCTAAATATACTTATTTTGCTTAGTTTTTAATGAAGAAAGAGATGTTAGAGAGGAGAAAGTGGCAGGCCAGTGGGAAGGACTAGGCAGATGGACGTTGAATTTAATTTTTCAAATCAGACTTATTTCTAAAATCCCAAGGTTCAGATCAGGGGTGAAATCCAGCAGGTTCTGACAGGTTCTGGAGAACCATTAGCGGAAATTTTGAGTAGTTCGGAGAACCAGCAAATACCACCTCTGGCTGGCCCCAGAGTTGGGTGGGAATGGAGATTTCACAGTATCCTTCCCCTGGAGTGTGATGGGAATGGAGATTTTGCAGTATCCTTCCCCTGCCACACCCACCAAGCCACGCCCACCATGCCCACCAAGCCACGCCCACAGAACCGGTAGTAAAAAAAATTGGATTTCACCACTGTTCAGATTCTGTAAATATTCCATTCCTTAGTCAGACCTTAATTTGTTTCATGGCAGACCTCAGTCAAGTTTCCCTCTGATGATTGTTCCCTCTATTATTGTTGTTGTTTTGGGCTTCTGTAAAGGATTTTGCAGAATGTGTTCATCAAGGATAGGAATTTAACAGGCTTTTTCTGTCTTTATTGATCTGTGGAAATCAAGAGTGTGAAGCCAAAGCTTGTCAAAGGTTTCAAATAACACAGTGGGTCTCAGGTAAACTTCCACAACTTGATGGTTGTGCATTTAGGAAAGCTTTACATGGTCTTAGCTTGGCACAAGAACTCAGTAGATAATTATTTGGTAGCCTCTTGTTCAGATTATGCTTAAAGCCATAATGCATTTTATTTTGATTTAGCTTGTCATCTTGGGTGAATCCAGAAAGTCTAGTTTATCCAAGAAACTATGATCAGCATAACATGTAACTTTCAGACTATAAAAAAAAATGGGGTAGGGGCAGAGAACATCTGTCCTTTTAAATGCTATGTATCCTTGAAGAAAATCTCTAGCAGTCAATCTGTAGGCTCTGGAAGGAATTATTTTTGTTCTGCTCTTTGGTAAAACCAGGGCAGCTCAAACACTGGGACATGAATGTTTCTATAGTTCACTGACATTTTCCCCAAAGGTGGAAATCTATGCTTGTGACTTACTTAAGCTGGGAAAGAGGCTAACTGTATTTGTGTTCCTGCAGATTTGGGGAATGGAAATGATCTACCGGGATTTCACACTTCCAATGTTGGCCATTAAAAATTTTGTGCTGGAAACTCCCAATGGCCGCCAGAAACCCAGAAAATGGAACAAAGTTACTTTTGAAATCAAGGCCTTTGATTATACTGAATATTATAATACTTGTTTTAAACTGGATACACAAGACTTGGCAATTAAATGAAAAATAATTCAAAATAATGGAATGTGCCCCGTTTGGCTAATAAATATAGCCTCGGACATCTTCTTTATCTAGTGAAAATCAGCAACCCCATTGAATAAATGCTGGTTCAAAATAATTTGAAGTAGGCCTGCTGAACCTCTTCACACTAATTCCAACCCTGAATGCTAGGGACTTCTTTCTTCTTTAAATGTATTTGTGGGCTGACTTGTCCCAAAATAAATGTTTGCAATGGGTGAAGGTACCCGGCTACATAATCATTCTTTTTTTTATTAAAGATCTGAATTGAGTTGGGAAGACTACGTGGCATCTTCTTTGCTACTGGGGGTTTTCTGAATGCCTTGAAAGAACATGATTATCGTTTGCAACATTGACCGAAATGACAAGTTCCAAACAAAATTCGTGCTTTTTAGGCTGCAAGAATTGGAACTCATTTTGAAGCATTTCCACATCATAATTGGAGTAATCCCACCTTCACCTCTTACACAAGACATGTAAATGTCCAGATAGCTAGTACTTAGGATGCCTGCTTTCTCCTGAGAGGACAAGAGATAAAACTCCTATCAGTTTATCTATTTCCCTTAATTTAAGCTGAAACTGCCACCTGTAAGAAGGGAAGTATTGTCACAATCGGGAAATTATCTGTCCTCAATCTTGTCAGAACTTAACTGGTGTCCAGAGACAACCAGAAAATCCATGCGATTGTGTTGTTCTGAAACTGATTCAAAACTCAGCTCAGTTATGGAGGGGTTAAAACCCAGAGCTGCTTTTGAGCACTCCCTATGTGGAAATACTCTCAGAGTCACAAAGGCACTACAGGACTGGGAGCTTACTGGAATGAAGATGAACTAGAAGTTGGCTGGGAAGGGTTCCTGATTTGGAAAATCAATGTATGAGTAAGAGATGTTCGGAGAATGAAGAGGAAGAGAAGGTTCATACAGAGCAGCTTCAAGGATACGTAAACGGAGATCTACCTGGATTTCAAACAAAGGTCTAGTAATCCATGACAAATTTGTGAAAAATATTTTGGGAATACTAAAGTGTATGTGAGGAAGGAATGTAACACATATTTCCCATCTCTCACACAACAACCTAATTGCATGTTCTGCTACTTACAATTTGGTTTCTAAAGTACATTTTGCAACGCCTCAATCCTGTCTGGTAAAATCATTGCATTTTTTTTTTAACCAAGTTTGTAGATTGCCCCAATTAAGGAAAAAAAAAAACATGGCAGTGATCAGATTTGTAATTTTATAATTGTCAAAGCTTCTTGCATCTCAATTGAAATTGTATGACATAAACGTATTGTCAACTCACAAAGCATTCCTGGTTTGCTCTTGAGCTGCCATGTACAGGAAAGGGGGGAGGACTGACAGAGCAGTTCAGCAGCCACGTTCAAAAGCACATTCCACACATATCTTCTTCAAGGTTGGATCTCAGTTTACCAGAGCCGGCATGAGGCGTGGTTTCTACAGAGTGCGAAAGTGCTTCATTGAAGAATGTGATTTATGACACAGACTGAGAGGAGGGGGGAAACAGGGTCAAGAGTTGAGCCATAAATTATGTGCGGCAGAGTTGACTTCACTTGGGAAGTTGTTGACATGTTGCTCCTCATAAATAACTGGATTTCTTTTGAAACTTGGCTCAAGACTCATAAGTTAATTAGGACATCCGTTGGAACCCCAACACATCCATTTTTGTCCTCCCAACAGCCACTCTATGAGGTGAATTTTCCTGAGATTAATCTTATATATGGGCCTTCCCAGTCTTAGTCCAATAACGATAATTATTAGACCACACTGATGCTGCTGTTATACAGAATATGATTTTAAGAAATAAGATATTCTTGTGTCTTTTACCCAGACCAAATTATTCCTTAATTGTTTTTGAAAGCAAACTATAACATTGCCTGCAATTTACACATGATTCTTTTCCACCATTAATATGGCCAGTCTTATTTTTTTTAAAAAAATATCATAAACAAACTCCTCAATATGAAACTTGCAGAACAATTATTGATGGATTGTTGTTTTTATTTTACAGGATTACAAATTTCTTTAAAATTTTCAACAGAAATTAAAGTGCGTAATTTTACAGTAGTCCAGCTCCCACCATTATTAACCAAATATACATATATTACAGAAATGTATACAAATATCTGCAAATATTTTACATACATGTACATATTATCAACTGGTAAAGCTAAACACATTCACCATTTTAAATATTACTTTTTCTTTTCTTTTTTTCATATATTTTAGAATCTATTTGTGGTAAAGAAAAAAGTGAAAAAGCCCTTCTAGAAATCACTCTTTGAATAAATAGACATATATCCCAAAGCATTGTCTGTAATGATATTGTCACCTAAGCTTGACTTGATTATTATTCAGGCAGCATTCAAAGTATAATTCCCACAACCTTTAAGTCTACAATACTCAGAACACCTCTGTGAGTTTGGAATAAGATAGTTAATAGCTTTTATACACATCCATTCTCCCACTCAGGCCCTCCCTGCTTATAATGCAATATGTCCTCAACTTGCGACCACAATTGAGTTCAAAATTTCCGTTGCTAAGTGAGGCAGTTGTTGCATCTCATTTTTGCCGCCATTAAGCGAATCCCTACAGTGGTTACGTGAATCATGCAGTTGTTAAGTGAATCTGACTTCTCCCTATTGACTTTGCTTGTCAGAAGCTGGATGCAAAGGTTGCAAATTGTAATACACAAGGCCCCAGGATAATACAACTGTCATAAAGACATGCCAGTTGCCAAGTACCCAAATTTCAATCACGTGACCAGGATCGTGAAAAATATCAAGTCGCTTTTTTCAGTGCTATTGTGATTTCAAAGAGTCGCCAAACAAATGGTTGTAAATCTAGGATTTTACCTTTATCGCCACTCAGTATAAAACATGAGCTGAGTATTTTTTGGGGTGAAGGTAAGTTAGATTTGCTATAGTGGGTCTTACAAATTACCCACTATCAGCCTGTTCTTTGCTAGGATACTGTGAGAAAATCTACTTCTCTGTTGGTTTACCACAAATATTGTATGCATCTGATAGAATCCCACATCGAAGACAAAAAAACATATATCTACACTTTTTTTTCTCTAAAAATTCAAAAGCAATTGCTTCAACAATGAACTAGCGAAAACTGTACCTCTACTCTTTAGTAATGGGAGCAGAACAAATTAAGCAAGCTCTTCAAGCCAGTTTCAAAAGTGACACTGAAAATATATACAATGGGGACTTGCTGATTAATGTTTAAATATGCTGCAAAAAATATTGTCTGTAAAATATTTAATGCTAACCAACATTCTCTCTCCAAATAATTATAAAATTATAATACTGTTAACATCTGTTCATATAATACAACCGGGAAGAAGGACTTTGATTCCTCAGCAGGTGTGTGTGTGTGTGTGTGTATGTATGAATGTTTCAGTTTATCAAATTACCAAGAAATAAGAGTGAAATGAAAGGGATGAAATCTAACAATTATTCTCTGATTGACCAGTGGTGGCAATCTAAGTGCTTCTCTACTTCAGTCACTTTAAGATGTGTGGACTTCAACTCTCAGAATTCAGCAATGCTGGCTGAGGGAATTCTAGAAGTTTATGTCCACACAGCTTAAAAGTGACTGAGATTTAGAAATACTCATCTAAATAACTTTTTCCTTAGATAGAGACAGGAAAAATGCCCCAGTATATTCGAAAAACAACAGTATGGTGTCTGCTGAAACAACTGATTATTTTTGTTGTACTTTTTTCTATAAGGAAACCATACATACCATCTAGGTGCTTTATTCCATCATCTCAACATTAAAGCTGAACCTGTTTAGTTAACATAGGTAAAGGTAAAGATTTCCCTTGTCCAGTCATTTCCGACTCTAGGGGATGGTGCTCATCTTCATTTCTTAGCAGAGGGACCCAGTGTTGTCCGAAGATTCTATGATCATGTGGTCAGCATGACTATGCACTGAGGAACATGGAACACCATTACTTTCCCACCGTAGTGGTACTTATTAATCTACTCACATTTGCATGCTTTCAAACTGCTAATTTGGCAGGAGCTGAGGCAAGTAAAGGGAGCTCACCCCATTGCGTGGCGCTCATGTCTCAAACCCAGGCTGTCAGCTTCCAGCTGACAAGCTCACAGTCTTTTAACTGCCCAATCAACAGGGCCCCATTTACTTAACACAGGTTGGCTCTAATCTGAAACTACATTGATTTCAAGTCATTGGAACGTTGCCATCATGTTGCCAGATAGTACTTAGTTTCAGCTTAGCATGTTGTATAAAACAGGCTGCTGGTTTATATGATTCACGGTTGGGTTTGTGCAACCAGCTACTATAGTTTGATTCAGTAAACCATGTTTAACCAAACAATGGCTTAATGATGTGCAAGACTCTATATCCAAGCAATATTTAATCAAAATATTCCATCAGACTGAGATATACCATCTACTGTATTACCGGAAGCTAACAGAGGGCAGAACTATGAATGATGGCGAAAAAAAGAGATACCAGGATATCTCTTATAAATCAATTTGAAGCAATCATTTGAGTAGCAGATTTCAGAGACAGCACTGTTTTCTTGACTCCTATATCCAGCTATTTATTATTTAATACAATTGCCACCCAATTTAAAGCTCAAGTATGAATGAATCTCAATGCTGGCCATAACAAACATAAAAATACTTTATATTCATTTCTACCATATCAATATATAAATCATAGCATTGTGATAACTTCCGGATCCAACATACATGAGCATGCAATACAAATTAAGGATTTTAAAAATGCATGTATGGGCCAGGAGGAAATGTTTAGTTATTAAATAGGTGGGTGCATTTACCATAATGTAAAACAATGGCATGTCCTAGAATTCACATATTTTTTTTCTGGTGTCTCTTCCATAAAGAGACAAATAAGATCCTTTTTTTTGCCAATGGCAATAATTCTTAAGCATGGAAGGCTTGACTTGGCACCTCATCCATCAGAGGAAAATCCTCATCATCAGGGAGTATTTTCACATTTGGTGCCTGATGTGCTTAAGCTGTGGGAGGGGGAGAGAGAAATAATATATCCAGCTGTTTAGTATTTAATACAGTTGCAACCCAACTCAGAGCCCAGATATGTATAAACCTTAATGCTAGGTATAACAGTTGACGACAGGTAGAAGGAAAAGTTGGAAAATACTTTCTGGATTTCTCTATTCAGGCCTTCCCTGTCCATGGCAAAAAAAACAGATCCACATATGGAAGATCCAATTAAACTGATTTGTTGCTATTTATGCCTATGCACAAGAAGGGACATGGTGGCTCAGTGGCTAAGATCTGAGCTTGTTGATCAAAAGGTCGGCAGTCCAGTGGTTCAAATCCCTAGTGCTGCGTAATGTGGTGAGCTCCCATTACTTGTCCCAGCTTCTGCCAAAAAAAGCATGTAAAAATGCAAGTAGAAAAATAGGGACCATCTTTGGTGGGAAGGTAACAGCGTTCCGTGCGCCTTTGCCATTGAGTCATGCCAGCCACATGAGCATGGAGACATCTACAGACAGCGCTGGCTCTTCGGCTTTGAAACGGAGATGAGCACCACCCCCTAGAGTCAGGAACTTCTAGCACATATGTGTGAGGGGAACCTTTACCTTTACCTTTTATGCCTATGCACAGGAATATACTCAACGAACAGCACCTGCTTGGAATTAAGTAAGAGTCAATGGAAATCAAGGGGGCTTGTGCTTAGTTTGCTTGAGGCTACATAGGGATTCTATGCTGATCCCTTTTTTAATTCTGCCAGTCTTCTATTTCCCCCTTTGAAAGAGGGCTAGCCTTGAAACAGCTCCCTTTCTTGATGGCGAACTAAGTTGTTCTTCCAGAAACGGGCTGTGAACTGGGAAGCCAAGCTGAAGGCCAGCCTTGAAGAAAAAGACGATTTCAACTTCCTCAGATGAAGCATGCATTCCAGACTCGCTTGTGGGGCAAGGGAGACTGAAGGAAGTCAACTTTTACAACAGCTAGCTGCTCATTATAATTTGATTTAATAAATTAATGGATCGACTAGAGAACATAGTTTTAAATTCTCATCCTAGAAACAGCTTAAAGAGAAGCGGTGAATCAATCTCTCTTCATATTTTTTTAGGGTAACTGGCCTTTGCTTTTTAACACTTGTGGCATTTCCAGATAGAAAAATGGAAAACTAACATGATTTTGTCTAATGCAGGGGTGTCAAACCCAATCACATCGTGGGCCGTATCGTGACTTATCACTATGTTTTTTTGCTTTTGCGGAGCCGGGGTGGGCATGGCCTGAGCAGGCCATATCTGGCCCGCAGGCCGCCAGTTTGACAGCCCTGGTCTAATGGCAGAGACAATGCTTGCGAATGAATGAATGGGACTTTTCTGGATAAGGAGAAGCCATAAGATCACCCACCTGTGTTGTGGAAGGCTGTTCCTTAAGAGAAGACTGGCAGGATTCAAAGGGATCTTGCCAGCTCCTCCTGAGTGCCAAGAACTGCAGAAGATGGGCAGCTCCAAAATTTAGTATGAGATTATTAATGAGTATTGGGCTCCCATGTCTACCTTTTTATGCACTTTTTTTTAGGGACACATATAACAATGGTCTATTCTACAGGCAAATCAATTACTTGCTTTGGTTACTCACTTTCCAGTTTATTTGATTCTTTAATATTAGCATAAATCAAGCCTTGTCAAGAAAGGAGTTATTCCAGAGAAGGGAAAGGACTTGTACATGCAATGTGATGTACTACAAACCTATCAAAACGATAATTATGAAAATTTTAACAGTACCACTAAGATCATAGCTTTGTTTAAAGGTCAAGAATAATAAATCAATAGTGCTAAAGCTATCAAAAAAAGCATTGCGTTACAGACCATTTTATTTATTTACACCCGAGAATATGAACAGAAGTGCTATTTTTAAAAGTGATAGTCACATTTGGTATCCCTGTGCTTAAATAACTTCTTTTGTGACACAGAAGCTGTTTTTCAGTGAGACTGACCTAACCTAAGTGGCTTTCTCATTGATAGCCATTTACCTAACTTTGGCAAGAAGATATCCAGTGTTTATCTTAACTTACATCAAATCAATCTGACAGTCAGCTGTAGATTCACACTGAATACATTGAAATGAGAAAATTAATATAGCTTGCAATTCGTTTGTACTTGAGCAATAATAATCAGATAGTAGAAACATTTCCACGAATGCAGGGAGCAAAATGTTTAAATAATGCACTAAAGAAACATGCTTCATCATATACCACATGCACACTCATCTTTTTTTTATAATTAGCTGTGATAATATAAAATGTTCCAGAAATGTTCCATCTTTATACTGTATTGGCTGGGAATAGGAAAAACTGAAAGTAGAAATATTCAGAATTGCTGGTTACTATATTCTGCTATGGAATCCATTCGCTGAAATAAATTCATGTTGGGTTTCCTTCCTATCATTATGCAACAATTATTTATTAAATAGCAAAGTAGCTGACATAAAAATAGTCAGGAATTCATACTAAATTCTGTAATTGGCCTATGCAAAAATAAGTTTCCTTGCTAAATAATGAGCAAACTGGGAGCCAGCCTCAGCTATTAATGAATGTCACTCCATGGAACACGTTCTCCCCTTCTCCACTATCCTTGTTAAGCAGTGTTACAGACATTAACTATAATTATTTCTGATCCTTCTTCTAGTATCCACACCTGCCATTTAGACAGACTTCAGTTCTTGGGTTAAGAGGAATTTCTGCTAGATCTTCAATTGCAATTCAGAGCATGTTCATGAAATGCTTAACAACTGAAAGCAAAAAGACATTAAAAGTATCGCTTTCAGCTGTTGACCAAGGTGCACAGTGAATTATAAAGGTTGCTCATTTAAATGCCAGGCATATCAGAATGATAGATCATTAAATAAAAATGAAAGATTTGGGAATTTCACAGAAAGAGCACCAACTCACATCTGCAAAAGCACCCAAACCAAGTTCATAGAAACTTCACTGGCAATTAATACGAACTGAAATGTTTTACCAACCTTTTTAAAAAGAGCTTTAATCTAGAAAAGGTTGTAAAGAAGGAAGTTATATGTGTGCTTTTAAACCAGATTAGTTTAACTACTGAATTTTTACGGAAAATTGGTTTTTCTGTTAACGCACACTTTAATTTAAAAATAGGATATTCTGACTATTATACTGTATTACTTAAAGACAAGCGTACCAGGAAAAACAAAGGGGTGAGTTGGTTCCAAAAAGAATCCCTTAGCTCAGGGGTCTCCAAACTCAGTAACTTTAAGACTTGTGGACTTCAACTCCCAGAATTCCATAAGTCTTAAACAGTGGTGGGTTTCAAAAAAATTTACTACCGGTTCTGTGGGCGTGGCTTGGTGGGTGTTGCTTGGTTTGGTGGGTGTGGTTTGGTGGGCATGGCACCACCAAATCTCTATTCCCACCCCAATCCAGGGGAGAGGTTACTGCAAAATCCCCATTTCCTCCCGATCAGCTGGGACTTGGGAGGCAGAGAATAGGCGGGGGTGGTCAGAATTTTTACTACCGGTTCTCTGAATTACTCAAAATTTCCGCTACCGGTTCTCTAGAACTGGTCAGAACCTGCTGAAACCCACCTCTGGTCTTAAAGTTGCCAAGTTTGGAGACCCCTGCCTTAACTTATACATACACAGATCCACCCACTGCATTCATAATTCCTGCTACAAGATGACTATGAATTGAAGGAACTATGGTAAACAGAGATTCCATGTGAAGAAATAGCGACTTAATCAGCAACAAGACACATCCAACAAAAATAAATACAAAATCCAATTGTCCCTAGCGATACAATATCTTTAAACCTATTTAGGGTAAAATCATTCTTACCCTGTAGGATTGTTGAGAGAAAAAAACCTAGTATTATCATCATTTTCTAAATGCTTACTTACATATGTACATTATTTTCAGGGAAAGCAATATTATGTAGAACGAAATAGAAATAGAGAAATTAAAGTCAGCAGGTAAGAAAAAGGAAGGAATTGTACAACTAGTTTGTAATATCAATATTAATTATCTATCTTCATATCTTTCCAAATACTTCAGGTGGAAAAAACACAATTTAAAAGATTTTGGAGACAGATTAAACTACAAAAATTAGATTATAGCTTTATCATATCTTCATTTCAAATCACCATTAATTGTGCTTTACATTAGAATCTAACAACTTCAATCACATTGCAATAACATTCAAGTACTATACATCTCATTGATTTATTTCAAACTTTTTATCCGAGAGTGTGCTTAGGAAGTTCAACATCCTGAAAGTGCTCCCTCTTAGGACTATGCACACTTTGAAAATTATTTTGAAGAAATGCACTATTTCTCAGCTCTTGATTAAAGTAGACTGACTTTGCAGCCTTTACCCTGAACTTAAAAAAAAATGGTGCTGCTCCTTTAAGGAATCCTCTCCTTAAGGCAATATTTCTCAACCTTAGAAGCTTGAAGATATGTGGACTTCAACTCCCAGAATTCCCCAGCCAACATGGTTAAGGCTAAGGAAACTCTTAAAGCAGCGGCACATCTTTTTCAAACTCGTGAGAAAAAGAAAAAAGTTGGGGTATTTTTTAGGAGTAGTAGCACACCACCGTCCCACCCGAGTTCCGAAACACTACTTCTACATCATTTTTGAAGCCTACACCACCTTTACTCTCTCCTAAGTGCTAATCATGTGCTTTTTATTATTCATCTATGAGGGAGAGGTTAAAGGAAATCTCTCCCTTATCCACTCCTCAAGGGTTCAAATGGAACCCATATGAGGTAGTATGCTGCATAACTGAGATCAATGTGAATTCTAAGAGATCACTTATCTTAATATAAGAAAGCCTGCTTTCAAATATGATTCCCAGGAGACAGGTTACACTATTTTCTGAAAGATAACTAGAAGCCCAAAGTTCACCCTCCAGGTTGATTTTCTGAGACAAGTACATATAGAATGAAGTTGCTACATGCAAATCATAGATTGAGTTCAAACGCTGAGAGCCATTAGCTTTGTAATTGAGAGCTTGTTAACATTTGCACTTAACTCATGTTAGAATTGCTTTGTATTTTGCACGTTTTCTATCAAGAAAATATTTCAAAGGAAGGAGAAATACATAGTTGGGTTGCAAAGGGTTGCCTATCATTTATTTTACAACATAGAATACTTATATATGTGCGTGAGCATTTTGCTCCATATAAACCCCATTGTTAAATAACTATATGTAAGTCATGTTTTAAAAAAAACACTTTCTTTTGTAGAATAAAATAATATTGGGTTAGCATGTCCCAAAACTGCTTTGCAAAAGGCAACTGGACTTTCTTGATTTTTCTTTGAAAACGTTTCATTTTTCATCCATTCTTCAGAACTGAAGAAGCTTTTTGGATGAGAAACAAGTCATTTTCAAAGAAAAACCAAGAAAATCTAGTTGCCTTTGGAAAAACACTTTTGGGGTAACCATGACCTGGATGATTGAAAATCTCCATAGACATTGGGTCAATATATTATTTGTTGGGAAACAAAATTTGCATCTTAATAAGCAATATAACATTGATGAATATTCTTTAGAAGACAGGACATTTGAATTAAAGAGTGGTGGACAATTCCATTCAGAGGCAACAGGAATGTTACCATGAGCTTAAGACTTTGGAACAACCCCCAAAGACTCAGAAGTTGTAAGAGTTGAAAAGTAGATTCAATTTTCTTTCTGTCATATGCTTAAGGTTTGATTATATTTTCAAATAACATTTCAAAACCATGCACACGAGAAACTGAATATAAACCATTAACTTCTCTAAAAACTAACTTTTATGTAATTGTCCCAGATCTGCAAAATCTCTCAGCTCTGGTGTTGGGCATATGGTAAAACCATAGATCATCAAATTACACAATAGTATAAACCAGGATAGATTTTCTGTATACCTATATCTTTCCCATCTACAAAAGCAAAACAACAGTGAATTAGTTAATTTCATACCAAACTCAGAAAGATGGGCCCTGGCTGTGGGGATATGTGTTTTAATTCTACATTTAATTCTACCTTTAATCTACATTAAAGCAAACCCTGTTTTTTATTTATTAGAGCAAGCATGTGTCGTATTAGAGCAAATCCTATCTACAAGGGTACAATGCGACCCTAAAGAGAGGGCCAATTTTTGGACTACTTTTAGGGAGAAGGATTAAGCATAAACCCCAAGGAATAAATAGAAGCTATAAATTAGAAAAATTGAAGAAAATTGAAAAATGGCAATTTACAGATATGATCATCTAAAATTTTCTTGACAACAGAAATTATGTTTGACTCAAAGTAGACTTTAGTTAAAGAATAAAAAGGATAGTTTAAAAGTTTGTATTCACTCCCCCCCCCACAAAAATTGTACGTTGGAGAAAGGAACAGCACTGCTATCAATCAGCATCTGGGCCACCAAATTTCAAAATCTGACTGGTTGTTATCTGGAGAAGATGCAAGAGAGATGCTGAATGGCTGTCCATGCTTATGTTACATCTGTTGTGGCCTTTTACACACTTAATGCTTAGCAAAAGGGATTGTACAATATAAAACTTTTGATCACAATTTTCCCATCTAATATTACGGAGTATTTAAAAATGTGGAAAATTTCAACTAATTATGTCTTTTTCCAGTTAGACAATTGGCTGTTTGACCTGTAGTTTTAACTGCCCACAGTACTGGCTTATGATTGTTGCATGCATACCACTCCAGCAATGAAAGATAAATGTTCTGAATAACTAGTAACATATAATAATACCATTATTATATATTAGCTTAATTATTAGTTCGATATTGCAAAGCTTAAATCAACAGTACAATTCTATGCATCTTTACTTAGAAAGTAATTCCAACAGAATTAAATTAAATTAAATTTAAGCTGAATTAAAGCTAACTCCCAAACAAAAAGTATAAAATACAGCATAAGATGTGAGAGCCAGTTTGGTCTACTGGTTAAAGCGCAAAGCTAGGAATCAGAGAACTGTGAGTTCTAATCCCGCTTTAGCCAATGAAAGTTGGCTGGGTGACTTTGGGCCAGTCACTCTCTTTCAGCTCAAAATGTCAGTCTTGGTTGACAAGCTGGTCAATCAATTCTTGTCAATCAGTGGATCGGCATTTGATTGATCTGAAAAAAGCACACTTGCAGGAAAGTGCCAAGAAGAAATGGGAAATTCCAGCATAAAGATAGTACTTCTTCAAGAAAGTTTTTAAAGTAAGGTATAAACACATATTTCCCAGCTTTGCAGAAACATTACTCTTTGCACAACTTTAAAATCATGTTCTGTTATTCTATAAAATGCCTGATCATGCATGGTAAGTGTGGTGCATATTAATCAATCTGTTTCCCATTTTTATGGTTTTGCGACACATAATGCAGTGACATTAATTGCAGCAACATGTGTATGGCTTGATGAAGAGTTATAAGTGGTCAGTTCAAATATCTTATCATCACATAATCTGTTGTAATTATTTATGTTAGAACCCATGCCACTGATGTAACCTCAAAATACATAAAGACTACTAGTCCATTCAGCATTTCTTCAATGCGCTAGTCTTTAAATGAAGATTAATGGTTTTAACTATGGTTTGTTAATTTAAAATGTCAAGCCAGACTTTTCTTTGCACAAAGCATGATTTGACTGTAACTCTTAAGATATGGTTAGTTTTAACCATAGTTTATTGAGTACACCTTGTTCCCACATCATCTTAAGCCATAAATCATGGTTTACAGTTGGCTTTACACATCACATAAGACAAACAAACTACTTTATGGCTTAGTGTAATGTATGAACTCAACATGTACTGGTATTTAATTTTCTTTAATCATGATTTGATGCAAAGTCCGAACTGATTCATAATATTCAGATCTCTGTATTAAATCCTAATATAAAGGGAAAAGAGATATCACAAGACATTGTTTAAGATTAAGCTGATAATATTACTAAAGCACTTATAATTTTAGAAATGTAGTACCACTTTCCAAAGGTAACAGAACTGAGAAGTTATGCTTTTCAAACCACAGCTAGAATCTATACATCCAGTACATGCCTTTACTACTCTTTCCAGTTCTGTATTAATGTATAAAAATACCAATATTATTCTATATAAACAAGCCACCAATTGTCTCTTAAATTCAGAATCCTCTGCTTAAACTCTACAGGATGCATGCTTCATTTTTAAAAATCATAGGCAAGCATTGATTTAGTATCATGAAGATAAATCAAAATCGAGTATAGTACATTTTCCTGTAAAAACATACCCTGCAAACAGTATATAATGTTCTTATTGTTCAATAAAAAAAATTTAACAGGAAAGTTTTAGCTTTTTAAATAGATCATTTGAAATGTTTAGATACTCTGGATATTGTTTGGTTCACAAACAAAAAATTATAGTTTTTATATACACATCAGTGTAAATAGTGCGAAAATTTAGATGCAGTAAGCTAATCTAACTTTAAATTTCACTACACATCTATTTGGCAATGTGGAGGTATATCTAAAAACACACATGTATGATTCATAGAAAATTACCAAGAGATCAACTTCATTATGAAAAAGCTGTACCATCCCCAATAGTATTATGTTGTACGATAACAATCTTGGAAATAACAGCATTAGGTTAATATTGATGACTTTTTGGCTAAGACATTAATTGAATAAAAAGAAAATATGGAATGCTTCTGTACATTAATTTTATTGACATAACATAAACGTTAAGGACAATTTCTCTAAAACGATATGGACTCTTTTGTTCTTTTCCAACATAAAGTGCTAAGAAACATGGCAGAAAGGCTGGCGTCTTTTCAAATTTGTTTTAGGAAGTAGTGTCAACCCCAATAGGAATGGGACAAATACAGCTTTACAGACCATTGGTGGATTCCAGTTTGGCCGTGCTTTCCTGCTGATCCTCCAAACTGATTTGTGAATCGTTGCAGCAATCTGGTGTTTCACCTTTAACAGCTAAATAGATGATTTTCAACCACTTCTGTTTCAGCTCTTCGTTATCTGCTGCAAAACTGTGCACAGATTTGGACTGAGTCAATTTGAAACTATGCGGGAGGTCAGCACTTCTTGGGGTGTCATCTACTGCGTAGCCCAAAAGTGGGATTGTAGCCAAGGCTTTGACATCCTATGGAAACAGAAATGAAGTCACTTTAAAAAGGCAACATTTGAGAGGAGTCCCCAAAAAGAAGCATCTTGATTATAGAGGTTGGGCTACAGAGGATGTTAGGAGGTTTCCAACAAGAGAAAACCGGTGACAGAGGAAGGAAAAGCTCTCATTCCTATCAAGATTAAATTTTATAGATCTGTTCTGACTCAGCTCCCCAAACACAACAAACCCTCTATAGTTAAGTAAATGATGCCTTTATTAGGAGCGCTAGCAGCCCCGGCAAAAAGTCTCTCTCTCTCACACAGCAGGCTAACAAGTCTGTCCAGCATGGAGATGAATAGTTGTCTGCCACACCTATTCATCTCTGCCCACTGCCTTTTATCCCCAGAGCTAGGGTGGGGCTTCACTAGCAGTGGTGGCTCTTCCATCCCAAGGATTGGCCCATAGATTTCCACTGCTCTCCTCTCCTCTGCCTTCTGCGCTTCCATGCGTCAGGCACTGGACCCAGCTGTTCCTCCTCTTCCTCATCAGACATTTCCAGACCTGGGGGCTGTTGACTGTCCATCTGAGGGCTGATGGATGGCCCAGGCTCCGCTTCTGTCTCTGACAGCTCCATTCCCTTTTACCCCTTGGAGCTCTGAGGTTGCCTTGATGCTGGCCCTGACTCCCACGCCTCCCCCTCCTCTGATTTAGCTGGTGGAGGGGCTGGCGGCCGACAGACCACAACAAGATCAAACGTGCAACCACAGAAAAAGAGAAATGCAAAACTGGAGAAAATTGCCTGTTAGGCCACCAGGGGATCGGATCTATTCCCTCCTTGCCCTTTCACCACCTATGGCTACCACATCAAAGTGCAAAAATCCAGATGACCCACAAATTAGCAGATAAGAGGTCCTGAAAAAAAAATCTAAGCTACTGTACTATCAGAGGCTCTGCAGGCTGATAAAACCCAAACCTGGTACCTAGTCCTCAACTTAATGACCACAATTCAGCCGAAATTTATGTTGCTAAGTGAGACAGTTGTTCAGTGAGTTTTGCCCCATTTCACTACTTTCTTGCCACAGTTGTTAAGTGAATCAATGTGGTCGTTAACTTAGCAATATGGTTGTTAAGTGAATTTGACTTCCCAATTGACGATTTCCTTGTCAGAAGGTTGCAAAAAGAGATCACATGATCCTGGGACACTACAACTAATTGCCAAGTGTCTGAATTCTGATCATGTGACCATGGGGATGCTGCAATGGAAGTATGGAAAATGGTGATAAGTCATTTTTTTCAGTAATGTTGTAACTTTGAATGGTCACTAAATGAATGGTTGTAAGTCAAGGACTACTTGTATCACATATCATCCTCTGTAAACAGAAGGTGAGGAGAGATACACAGTGGTCATAGCCAGTTCTGATTGTTATTGTGTAAGCTCTTCTTTTACATACAGTGGGGGGAAGAATACAATTCAGAAAGAGTAGGAATTACAGTTGCAAAAATGTAAATGAAAGGTAAGCATGATATCATGTTACTCTAAGGTGAGAAAGGAACTTTGCTATGGTCTGGCAACCATTCATTTTTACATACCTGTGGAGCGCCATACATATATAAAACAAGGGCTTCATGTTTAGGTATCACACACCAAGCCTTTTGCCATGTTTTAGATTTTTCCAAATACTGCAGAAAACTACATATCACACTATTTCCCGACACTTCTGCTGATTCAATCTGTAGAGATAAAACGAACGTGGTTGAAGAATTCTAAAAGATCATTATAATTGTTTATCATTTCTCAGACAATAATTGGTAAGGAATAAAATCATAGCAAATTAAGTAACAAAAATGAAAGAGAATGATCTTACATCTAACTGCTGGCTTGGTATTTTACTATTCATCAAAGAAGCATGAGATGGAAGCAATGTAATCTTGCGGAAATAGAATGAAATGGAAGAATTGCTGACCTTTTACAAAATATTTAATAATCAATCAGTTCCAGGGAACATTTTCTTCATTTAACTCAAAGTGCCTTCTCAAAGGAGAAGTCAGAAAGGGAACTCATAAAGTATCTTGTAACAAAAGGCTTTTTTCCCCCTCTGACTTCTTCCAACATGCTTCTTGAAAAAGTAGCTACTACCACGTGTGGTGGGCGTGCCCACAAGCAAAAGCATACTGGACAAAAATAAGTACTTGGATAGAAAAAATGATAAAGGAACATATAGGTCTAAAAGCAGAAATATTTCTGTTGGGTATCATACCAGAAAAATATAATAAAGGACTATGTATCTAATACTACGTGTGTTAACAGTGGTTAGAATTGTATTTGCACAACATTGGAAAAGTGTGGAGATCCCTACAGAAGAGATGATAATAAAAAAAAATACTAGAATGTGCAAAAATGGATAGATTAACATTTAAAATTAAAGAGAAGGAAGACATGGAATATTTTGAAATATTGGATTTGTTTTATCAATGGTTAACTAATAGAATCAGAAGTTAGAATGTTTAAAATTGTAAGAGAAGGATTAATTTTATTATGAGGGCTTATTATATGTTTATTATTAATATTAATTAGTATCGATAATCAACAAGAATTAATATTATGACGAGAAAACTAATGAATTTTATGATGATGATGATGTTGCTCAAACTAACTGCAACCAGACAACACAATTTATATAGACATTGAAACTGAAAAGAAAAAAGAAAGTAGCTATGTCAAGTTGGAACAAAATAAACAAACTTCTATGAGTAGGTTTGCCTCTAAACAACAGTTGGTGAGGGTTTGTTGCATCAAAACAATCATTGGATATAATAAAGAAGCAACAATGGGCTTTTAAAAATAGCTGATAGAACAAGCAACATTGGAAACTCCAATTTAATTTTAAAACTTAAACTTAAAAGCTTATTTGCAATATTGGAAGGATGGATTTGGTTTAATAAAGTCTGCCCATCTCTGCTAAATTTTTGTCACTTTTCTTTCTATCCTTCCTCTTCACTATCTTTAGCAGACAAACCTACTGTATGTCCACTGAAAATCCAAGAAATACTGTCATTTTCAATACATGACCAATAGTCAGAGATGCTGAGATTTAGCTAGTCCAAATTACATAGGCCGATTTCATGGATACCATCAGAAACAGAATGTTTTAAAATGGTTTGTTGGCGCACAATGAATGAATCATGTGCAGTTTTCTGCATGCAAACATAAATTTAGCCTTTGGCTAGTTAGCTCTCATCAGTGCCTTCCTCATTGCATGCAATTTTAAATAAATATGAGAAATATCAATGTCATTTTAACATAACAGAGTTGGAAGGGACCTTGGAGGTTTTCTAGCACAACCCCCGGCTCGACCAGGAGACTCTATACTATTCCAGACAAATGGATGTCCAGTCTCTTCTTAAAAGCCTTCACTGATGTAGCACCCAAAACTTTGGAAGGCAAGCTGGTCAATTGTTCTCAGTGTTAGGCAATTTCTCCTTAGTTCTAGGTTGCTTTTCTGCTTGATTAGTTTCCATCCATTGCATCTTGCCTTGCTTTCTGGTGCTTTGGAAAACAGTTTAATTTCTTCTTCTTTGTGGCAGCTTCTCAAATATTGGAACACTGCCATCATGTCACCCCCTAGTCCTTCTTTTCACTAGACTAGACATACCCAGTTCCTATGTTCTATATTGCCTATGTTCCCAGTTCTTTGTATGATTTGGCCTCCAGTCCCCTATCCATTTTGTGGGCCTTCTCTGCACTTTTTCCAGAGTCTCTATTTTATCATATGGTGATCAAAACTGGATGCAGTATTAAAATATGTGTGATCTTACTTTTAATTTAATAAATCATTTTATTAAAATATTTTAAGTTAATAATATTAGGACAGGCAATGTAAAAAAAAGCAATGTAAAAAAAAGCAATGTGAAATAAGCAATAAATAAGACCCAACACACTTTAATTCTTTAAATTTCATACCTCCAAGATTCCTCTTTTTTTCTTTTCTTCACTATCAGTGCACCCTGTTATAATGTGGTAGCAATCTTTACAAACTTTGTTCAGCTTATTGCCATCATACTCAAGATGAGCTTTGTAATCAGAACATTTCCAGCAAACCACCTTAAGAAAAATAAAAACTGAGTTACTTTGGAACATCAGTTTGCTTCCAAACATCGTTTCCAAAAACCATTTGCCATGGTGATATATTTAATAAAGGATTAATTTATTTTACGACGATAGTAACCAAACATGAAATCCATCCAATGTTCTAAAACAGGACTCTTCAGGCATTTAGTACCATCACTCAAAGAATAACAAAATAACAGAGTTGGAAGGAAACCTGGAGGTCTTCTAGTCCAACCCCCTGCTTAGGCAGGGAACTCTATACCATTTCAAACAAAGGCTTATCCAATCTCTTCTTAAAAACTTCCAGTGTTGGAGCATTCACAACTTCTGAAGGCAAGTTGTTCCACTGATTAATTGTTCTAAGTGTCAGGAAATTTCTTCTTACTTCTATATTGCTTCTCTCCTTGATTACCGCTACTTTCTATCCATTGCTTCTTGTCCTGCCCTCAAGTGCTTTGGAGAATAACTTGACTCCCTCTTCTTTGTGGCAGCCCGTGAGATATCGGAACACTGCTATCTTGTCACCCCTAGTCCTTCTTTTCATCAGATTAGACATACCCAATTCCAGTAACCGTTCTTTATGTTTTACCCTCCAGTCCCCTAATCATCTCTGTTGCTCTTCTCTGTACTCTTTCTAGAGTCTCAACATCTTTTTTACATTGTGGCGACCAAAATTGGATGCAGTATTCCAAGTGTGGCCTTACCCAAGGCATTATAAAGTGGTTTTAACACTTCATGTGATCTTGATTCTATCTCTCTATTAATGCAGTCTAGAATTGTGTTGGCTTTTTTGGCAGCTGCAGCACACTGCTGGCTCATATTTAAATGGTTGTCCACTAGGACTCCAAGATCCCTTTCAGTTACTACTATTGAACGAGGTACCACAAATACCGTACCTGTGCATTTTGATTTTCTTGCCTAAATGTAGAACCTTACTTTTTTCACCATTGAATTTCATTTTGTTAGATATCATGAACAGCTGTATTGTGGTTAATCCAGGAATCCAAAAGCTTGTTTCTGAGCATAAGAACATGTTCACCAAAGTATCACTAGACTTGGGCAATCAAAACATATACTGTATATCACAAGTGCTGTGCACAAAAATATGAATATGTAATTTAACATCTATGAATTACACAATTAAACGTATCCGAAATAAAATTCTTTCAACTAGAAATTAAAATTGGTACCCTGAAAAATATCTCCAAAGATAACCTGAAACCAGCTGAATTGCAGATTATCATTAAAGGATAATAATTAGAGATTCCAATAGAGCAGGGGTGTCAAACTCGCATCGTCACGTGACATATTGGGATTTTTTCTCCCTTCGCTAAACCGGGCGTGGGCGTGGCCAGCGCGTGACGAATCCAGTCAGGAGCCCACAAGTTTGACAGCCCTGCAATAGAGGAACAAATAGCCTATGGCAGCTCAGAATAGATATTTTATAAAGGACACCAGCAATGCAATAAAATGAAATGTAAAATTAATTTAACATTCCAGTTATTAAAGGGAACCATTTACAGAAATATTTCCTGCATTGGCCGTAAGGGGGTGCAGATTTGGTTCACAAATTCTGACTTTCTGCCATGGCAAGTGTCAGCTGAAACAAAACAGCATTTAAAAGCAATCACCAGATGGAGTTTCTGAACAAGTTTTTGGCAGCTTCAGCAACTGTTAACCAGCAGATGTGGCTTTGTGCTTACATGCCCACAAGCTCGGCAATGATGTCTCCTCCTTGTTAGTGCATTAAATGGCTCTTTGCATTTCATACACATAGTCACTTCATTGTCTCGGATCCATCTTGGGGCTCTCTTCCCGAGCTCAGCAGTCTCCGAGGAGGAAAAAATAAATAAATTGTGGAACATTATTAGAAGAAAAGGTAATTCTCTCTCTCTTTCTTTCTTTCTTTCTTTCTTTCTCTTTCTCTCTCTCTCCCTCTTCCCCCGCCCTCTCTGAAAAGCCAGTGGAATGACAGGCTAATCTTAAAACTAAATAACAGGTGTGGAGGCTACTATAAACAACAGCTGCATATTTTTTAGGATTGAAAGATATTCAAGATTAGTTTGATGCTTTGCATTTTCCCTTGCTAGCCATAATCAAATCCAGTGATGTAGGAAAAGGCAGGGAATGCCAAAGATTAAAATAGCAAATAAACTCTGCTAGCAATTACAAGAAAAGAAAAGAGAAGTAGATACTTGGTTCCTAACTTTCACGGCAGCTGGGCTTCAATCTCAAAACTACAGTAGACTTTAAACCAAGGAAAGATATTCAAATGAGCACAGCACTCTTTATGTGTGCATGAAGTGGGATGAAGAGAATTTCTGCAAAGATCAGAATAAACGGATTAACCAAAAAGACAGCTATGTTATATGATAATTAGAAATGAAGTCTAAATTTAAATGTTTTTTATGTTTTGTTTGTTGACTGAATAAAGAATAGACTGTGGTTATAGTATGTATCTCTCTGGCATTTCTTTATGTCTCCCACTGCAATTCTTTCAATTTTATTAAAAGAAATGCTTCTTTTCCAAATATTACCATATGTACTATCCTTTGATTTAGTTTTTTTTAATAATGTGCAATAGAAAAAGGAGTAAGAAATGTTGAGCAGGAAGTCACACAGAGTTTTTAAAAGACAAAACTCTTGTTAACTCTTATCATGACTGAACAGTTATTAGAACAAAAGATTTATAGCTTATTTGTGCCTGTTAACAGCAGACTGTCACACAATACATGTTTGTCTGATCTCACGGTCTTGACTTTCACCTCATATAATAAAATCATATGCAAACTGGGAAATTGTGTGAATGATCATTTTGAATTGCTTCTGATCACAGCTACAATTTAAAAATCCTTGTAGCAGCCATTCCCTCCATCATCCATTTATAGTCGGAGGCATTTCAAAGATTATATCCTATTTTTTTCCTCTACTTGGTGTCTTTCTTTAACTGGTTTTTTTTTAATGATAACTCTCCCGCTTTGAGCAAAAGAAATGTTCTTTGCTCAAAATAACTATTTTAATTAAGTTGGGGAATAATTCTGTACCATAAAAACTAGGCAGGGGGAAAATAAATACAATTCAAGACAAAGACTTTGTAATATGAATTCATGCAAATATGAGCATCAAAGAAATCATTTTAGAGAAATCTACTTCAGAGCAAACTGGTTCATAGAGGCAACCAAGAGAATAGACAGTCCGAGAAGAAAGAGAGTGAGTTGGTAAAGCCCTGGATAACAAAATGCAATTGTTTGATCATACTCAATAGGATCCCTATAAAATACTATCTTTTTCTTAGAGGTAAAAATTTGGTAGATGTAACAAATCTTCAAGTTAGTCTGAAGTTGGGGCAGCTTCATAAATTGAAATGATATATAAATAAATACCTTTCCCATGTAGATGACAAATACCACTTTGCTCTGCTGAATTTGACTCACACTACTATCAGAATAACAGAGTTGGAAGGGACCTTGGAGGTCTTCTAGTCCAACCCCCTGCTTAGACAAGAAACCCTACACCACTTCAGACAAGTGATTATCCAACAACTTCTTAAAAACTTCCAGTGTTGGAGCATTCACAACTTCTGGAGGCAAATCATTCCACTGATAAATTGTTCTAACTGTCAGGAAATTTCTCCTTAATTCTAAATTGCTTCTCTCCTTGATTAGTTTCTACCATTGCTTCTTGTCCTGCCCTCAGGTGCTTTGGAGGATAGCTTGACTCCCTCTTCTTTGTGGCAGCACCTGAGATATTGGAACACTGCTATCATGTCTCCCTTAGTCCTTCTTTTCATCAGACTAGACATATCCAGTTCCAGCAACCATTCTTCATATGTTTTACCCTCCAGTCCCCTAATCATCTCTGTTGCTCTTCTCTGCACTCTTTCTAGAGTTTTAACATCTTTTTTACATTGTGGCGACCAAAACTGGATGCAGTATTCCAAGTGTGGCCTTACCAAGGCATTATAAAGTGATATTAACACTTCACGTGATTTTGATTCTATCCCTCTGTTTGTGCAGCCTAGAACTGTGTTGGCTTTTTTGGCAGCTGCTGCACACTGCTGGCTCATATCTAAATATCCACTAGGACTCCAAGATCCCTCTCACAGTTATCTTTTCTCTCTCCTATTATGCCTGCTTCCATCCACCCCCTTCTTCTCTTTCTTTTGGCAAATCAGACCATCTCCCGTATAGACATCACTGCACAGGTCTATCCATATTGATACATTACAGTACTGTGAATAAAAACAGGCCCATATGAGCATTTACATGACTGAAAGGGCATTCTAATGGCAAACTAATACGTTTCATGACTTATTTTCATGCTTCTGATATGGATTTTTGAATTAATCCGAACCAACAGGAGTATACACAACCCAAAAGTTACACTCAACTTACAGACACCTCAATAGGCATGTCATCATATTCTTTTGCAATTGCAGTTCTGAATGTTTCATTTCTTTGCTGAAAAGCATCTATAGTACTCTGAAGAGCCTGTAATCAATGAAATGGAAAAAGAAGATCAAGTTTAACGGAAGAATAAATGATTGAATGTCAGACCAAAATGAACACTAGAGATAGATGCATGCTTGATTCCAGTAACTAACTTTTTAAATCAACAAACACTGGAAGTTAAATTTCAAAAGAATCATGACAGCAGCAGCAGAGCAGTAGCCATGTGGCTTAGTTGCATATAAAGCATCAATCTTAGCACATTTATTGCATATTTGGACATAACAAGCCAGGTTTATTTACCTTTATCCATTCTTCTTTGTCTTGTTCAGAGCTAAAGAACACAGTTGGAGATAATGGTTAAAAGCATGTTCAGAAACTGTTTAATAAGCTGTAAAGCCATTTTACATGGAAAGGCATGAAAATGCTGAAGCATATAAAAAGGCACCTATTGAAAACATTAAAAATGTCTAATTGCAAGGGGAAAAAAAGAATTGGGATTCTGGATTCAAAAACTGATGCCTTTCAACTGCGCATGATTAAACCTTTGTGGAAATATAACGTCTGAAATGAGGTTAGAATAATATTTCACATGTGTGTATACCAGAATAATGTCTCTAATGCACTCTGCATGTGTGAATGCAAATTCCATTTAGGCTTTGCAAATTGTTCTGGTTATTTCAGGGCTGGATTTATTTCTCTCCTCTCTGATCTTCCCTTATACCCTCCAGAAATAAAGTCATTTAGAGCTGTAGCTATTGGATCTGAATTGTACTGAGAAGTGAATACTGTCAACCCATACAATATATAACATTTTCCTGCCAAATTGAACTCCACAACCAAACCTAACCTCATGAATTTGTACACTGCCTAAGTGTGCATTGTTCAAATCGCTTCTAAAAGCTGATCTGGAAAAGAAGTTCCATAATTTTCATCAGCAGGTCATTTACATAAAAGCCACTTAGCAGTTTCTTTTCCATTCCTGTCCCCTCTCTAAGTTGTATACAAGCTTGGGCTCAAGCGATTGCTTCCATATTATCTAAGTCTTCAGTAGTGAAACATTAACAGTTCCACTGCAGGACACTTAATATAATATAGCACTCCCTGGAAATTAGTGCTCTGATGCGTTCAGTTTGCAGAATGAAAGGATTTTTTTTACTAGGGCTGTGCAGATTTGAAAGCAAAAAGATGTTTGGAATATGCAAGGATCCAAATAGTTGCACATAGTAGCTGCTTTATAGAGTTGCACCCTGCTACTTCCAAATAATAGCTTTGCCGTCAAATATTCATATAATCAAAGGGATACCTACGTTTATAGGAATGCCTACGGGACGTCATATTTTCTAGAACATCAAAGAAGGAAACCAAGGCTGTGACTTGCCTTTACTTTCATTGCTCATGGAATCGGAGTAACAACTAAACAGACCAATGGTTCCGTTCCATGATTCCAGACTGTGTAGCTTGCATGATAAAAATAAGCCTTATCATCCGTGTCAACTGGTAGAACATGGGAGGTTTACAGACAGAGACTGTATAAATTGATCTAATCAAACATTAAACTCTGTTTCTCACAGGGTTGCAGTAATGGCTCTATGAGATCACCAGGAAGCAATCATCTCTATAACAAAATGGACCTTATAACCACAAGCATCAATTTGCACTCTAGTGAAATCAAACAAAGACAAATTCTTCTGGTAAAGAAAATCCTTAGGGCAAACTAATGCAATTTTTATGGGGATGAAGATTACTGTTTATCAGTATAAGGCATGTACTCAATAACATAAGAAGGTAGATGTAGCTGGCGTTACAAACATTTATCTAGCATTTTTATTCATGCTCATTAAAAAGCAGAAGCAATTATGTACTACGGGAAGGACCCTAAAGAAACTCTTCACATCATAGAGACAAGCATCCTGCAATCCACTAATTATAAACAAACAAACATGACTATTAACTATTATTCCATGGTATTTAAAACAAATGGAATTCAATTAACAGCATTAACTGCATCTAGTATATTTCTTCAATCTACCAGAAGGACTTATTTGGTTTCAAAAGTGGAATGTTCCAAGTCATTTTTCTAATTTTAATGCAGGTTATTCTGGGATCTCTAGATTCTCAAGCAAGAAACTTGATCACTTCTGCTCAACATTTCCATTGAAATTGGACATTCATCTAACTGTACAGGAATGTCTCAACTTATGACTGCAATTGAGCCCCAAATTTCTGTTGTTAAGCAAGGCAGTTGTTAAATGAGTTTTCCCCCATTTTACATTTTAAGTGAATCCCTGCAGTTATTAAGTGAATTATACAGCCATTAAGCAAATTTAGTTTCCCCCTTTGATTCTGCTTGAATGGGAAGGTTACAAATGATGATCACATGATCCCAAGTGTCCAAATTTTGATCATATGACCATGGGGATGCTGCAATAGTTGTAAGTGTGAAAAACAGTCATAAGTCACTGTCTTCATTGTTGTTGTAACTTCGAACCGTCATTAAACAAATGGTTTTAAGACGAAGACGAACTGTATCTAACTGTGACCTGGCGAGATTAGGGGAAAGGTCAAGCATCAACAAAAAGTCAGCTGGGGAATGCTACCAGCATGCTTGCTAAGGAATTCTGGGAATTAGAAGTCCACACTTTTTAAAGTTGCCAAGTTTGAAAATGATGGCTTAAAACTCATTACGTCCTTTCAATCAAGCATTTTTAATTTCACTAACAAGAGTGAAAAGAACCAGTGCTTTCCAAATGCAAATCAGATATATGCCAGTTTTCAACATCTCTGTTCCAGGACTTTAAGCTTTTACTTTATTGTGACTACACTTCAAGCAACAGTGTTAAACTCACTTCTTACCTGGCCTGCAACTCTAACGTTCGTTCTTTCCCAGACACTTGAAAAGTGTGTGGGTATTCTTCATTGTGGGTTTCTACAATCTTCATACCATCAATGCCAACTCTTGTCCGGACTGTAAACTTAGATCCTACTAAGCTGAATTTTGGTACACAGTACAGCAACATATTATTGAACTGCGGGGGAAAAACCAATACACCAAAAGACATTAGTGTCCGTAATTATAATTAGTGGGTTATCTATTAAACAAAAACATTCACTTTCCAATGTGAAAGTTGCATCTTAGCGAAAGAAAAATAAGAAAGATTAATAAGTGGTTAGCACAACTAACTTTGCTACAATCCTCCCAGGATATTCACTTAGTTATAGTTCACTTTCAACATACAGTATAGTACAACCTGAGAGAAATGTTACATTTGCCAGTGTGTAAAATAGGAGTTTGGGAAACTAATTACATATTTCATGAAGGATTAAACCAAGAAATGAAGCCATTTTTATTTTGCTTTTTTTATTTTGTTTACTTTTTAAAAAGTAAACAAAACTTCTTTGGTTTTGAAAGTACAGAAAGAAGTTTCTTGCCTGGAAGCCGATTTTGGGTGTAGAGTGTATGAAATATTTTCTGAGAACAGTTTTAAGTACAGAAAAAGATTGTTCTAAGGATTTTAAGCCTCATCTATGTTATATGAGCTTTTTCTACAAATTGACTGACTTTGAGTTGGATCCCATTTTAAATATAAATATGACTTTTAGGAAGAAGGTTGGAATAAAAATGTAAAAAAATAGTTTTCTCTTCACCAAAAACAGAAAAAAATAGAAAAATACTTTTGAAACTAACAGGGTATTTAAGTGTTTTCAGTGGGCACATATCAGGTGTGGGTCCAGATGTGAAAGTCCAATTAAATTGATTTATTGCTACATGTGCCTATGCACAGGATTCTTCTCAACTAACAGTTAGCATCTGCTTGGAGTTAAATAAGGATCCATGGAATTCAAGGGGGGAGGTTGGACTTAGTCTGTCTGTGGCTATATAGGGATTCTAGGTTGATCCCCCTTTTTAACTCTGCCCCCAGATTCTGCCATTCTTCTTCCTATGGGACAAGGCGTACTACTTAAACATACCATTCATTACTTCTCCATTCAAAGGTAGGAGACACAGGATTAAGAAAAGCTAGCCTGGTGGACAATTACAAGGGAATCCCTTTGCTAATCTAGGATTTATGTATTTGAATGTATTAGCATTTCTGACCCCCACACAAATGCTCCACACTGCTTTCTTGTAAACTTCCACTTGCAAACAAGTCTCCTTTCTCAGTTATACATAAGTGCCCTTTATCATTTAACCATGTTTCAGCCTTTTATTGCATCAACATTAGTCCTAGTTAGGATCAACCATGGCTCCTGGTCCTGTCTGAAGTGTAAGGGTATGTTCATGTTTAGCATTACTTCACAAGTTATGTTAAGAACAATTAGGAACATTGTACTCAAAAAAAGAACTACAGAAAGTCAATTTGGAAATCCTTCTTTGTAGGAAAAACCACAGCACTGAAATAGCACTTCCCCTTCACTGCACAAACATAGAAATCTAGGTTATAGACATTTAAAATGGTACCAAGTCAAAAGAAAATACTTACTAAGAAGAGATATCTTTCTTGAGCTGATGTGTTGCGAGCAGCAAGCTTAAGTATTTGCCCTTCTTTTATCAGTTCATTTGAAGGATTGACAATATCTTCTTCTTCTCCTAACATTTCATACACCTCTAGTAACTTCTTCAAATTTTCCTTTTTCATCAAAATAAAACAAATGACAACATTGATTCAAGCTGCTTGCAACTGTTTTATGAAAAGTGTATACATAAGAATCTAATCATCTAAAGTTCAATATTAAATTGGCATCAGATAAGGATCAACGGAATTCAAGAGGGGCTGAATTTGGATTGTTTGTGGCAAGAGAGAACCTTGGTGGCGCAGCAGACTAAAGTGCTGTTAAATAGCACCAGCTACCTGCAATTACTGCAAATTCAAATCTCACCAGGCTCAAGGTTGACTCAGCCTTCCATCCTTTCGAGGTAGGTAAAATGAGGACCCGGTTTGTGGGGGCAATAAGATGACTTTGTATAAAAAAGAACACCACTTGGGGGTGGTGAAAGCCCTACTAAGCAGGTATATACAAAAGTGTGAAGGCTATTGCTTAACGCATTGTAAGCTGTCCTGAGTCTCCGGAGAAGGGCGGCATATAAATCGAACCAATAAATAAATAAATACATAAATAAATAAATAAACATCAAGCACTCTAAGCTGATAACATGTTTAATGCCACCACCACCCCAGCTCTGCCTGCTCTTTTTCTATACCAACAACCTTACAGGTTATCATGAGGATGAAACAAGGAGGAAAGAATTCATTTATTTATATAGATTGAATTATATAGAATCTTTATTTATACAGATTTATATAGACTGATTCAGAAATTCACAAACATGCTCTATAAATATAACACATTAAAAAGATGTTTCATCGTGCATATTGTGTAGCTACTCTGTTCACTTATAGCAGTTATATAATTTTCTCCTGAAAGCCAAGGCCAAAGAACATCATGTTTCCTCAAGATTAGAAAAGCCAAAATATTGGTCACCTACAAAAACAAGAAAAGTGCTCGAAGAATTGCGTAACGAAGCAGTTTCACTGGGGGCAATCATCCATGACAAAACCAGAAGCAAGCATGCTTGCCAAAACAAAAGGCAATTGCATTAATTACCCTTGTGAAGAGAGTAGAGACTTTTGGGAAAACAAATGTAATATTTTAATACAAATAGTATTTCTCAGTTAGGCATCCATAAAATTGATAGTTGTCCATACGATTAAAATACAGGTGGTCCTTGACTTACAACCATTTGTTTAGTGACTATCTGAAGTTACAATGGCACTGAAAAAAGAGACTCATCTCTGTTTTTCACACGTATGACTATTGCGGTCACGTGATAAAAATTCGGACACTCGGCAAAACTGTCTTTATGACAGTTGCGTGTTCTGGGGTTATGTCATATGCTCACCTTTGTCACTTTCTGACAAGCAAAATCAATGGGAAAGCCAGATTCACTTAACAACTATGGCAAGAAAGGTCATAAAATGGGGCAAAACTCACTTAACAACTGTCTTGCTTAGCAATTAAATTTTGGGCTCAGCTATGGTTGTAAGTTGAAAACCACCTGTAATAATAACTAAAATGCATATTCTGCAAACAGAAAATGACAAATAAATTACTCACCATTTTCCGGATGGCACTGTTAGAGTGACTTGCAGCTGTGGATATAATTTCCAAGGACTCTAGGGAAGAAATGGTAAATAAAAAAGATTAATTCTCATTTCCTAATATGTAAATTAATATTTTAAAAGCTAAATAATTTTAGCTAATATTTTTTTTTAAAAAGCTGCCAAACTAAATTAAGTAGCCACATACTGTACAGCATAGCAAGTTTCCTCAGAATTAGCTTTTCATATAAGTACAAAATATAAAGCCAGAGCAACAAAGACTTCTTGCAGCCAATATAGGTATGTTAAACTTGAATATTAAATGGTCATGAGAATGCATCTTTTACTGAAATGAAGCATAAAACAAGCTCTTGGCAGAATAATTTTTCTGCTCTGTAAAATGCAAATCCAGCTATTAATTCAACTTGTCATTGCCAGCTCAGTCACTTCAAACTGACATATGTATGAAAATGACTGCTATGCTTGTCTTTTTGATACTAAATGAAATCTGCGGAGGTCAATTGAAGGCAAGGGTATGACCAGCCCTGCTGCTATGCTGAAGGAAAAGTAATCTTAATCTCCTTATTCAAATTTCAGAAAAACAAGCATCTATTAATTTAATTGAGGAAACAGACTTTTGGAGAAATAATCATAACATATATCTTTCTGTGGTTTGATTTAACAAACCAATCCCTTATTTAAATGTTTACACAAAACTATCGTGAGCATTCATGGAATGAAATAAACGAAATCATTTGGGGGGTGGACTGGAAAGCCCTTTTTGAAAAACACAGTTTAAAAAGAATACATTTAAAATTACAACTAGTTAATGACAAGAGCAATACTCATCACAATTTAAAACTTATTACAGCTTATCAGTATGCAAGAAAGTGCATACTGATGTACTTATTTTCTCTTGCATTTCAGCACACAACCGAAATGCAAGAGAAAATAAGATTTTTTTTTCCATCCCGACAATGAAAAGAAAATAGCGAGCTGTAAAATAGTTCCTCTTTTTCTTCATGCACAATGCCCACAAATATTACTTTCAGCATCTTTCCAATCTAGAGAATCTGCAGGTAATTTTCTCAAATAATCCTTCAACAGCATCTCATATCTTGGGATTCGTTGTACAGGTTCTAGCATGTGATGCTGCAAAGTCAGATTTCCACAAACTTTCTGTTTCTAGAAGAGAGAGAAAAAAAGAAACTGTTAATATACATCTTATACACAACAGGTAGTCCTCAATTTTAATCATTTTGATTCTGTGGAATTTTAGATCCTCTAGTTTTTATTAGCCACATATGACCTACACTTCAGACAACTTAAGTTTACCATTTCATGAGTAGAATATTGGACACTTATATGCGCTTCCAAATTGTTTCCAGAAGGCACTATACCATGTAACAAAATTAAATGCTATTGACGTATATGTGTGTGTAATGAAATCATTCTCTCTCTCACTCACACACACATACCACATACACACACGCATTACCTGAATATCTTGAATAATGGATTTGAAACAAGGGGATCTCTCAGTCCAAGTTTTCACCAGCTCCATTGCATTGTCAAAATTCTTCACATACTCTCCATACATCTTGAGAAAAGGAGCCAGTTTTTGCAGAATATCACTGATTCTGGGGTTGGTGTCCCTAAATAGGAGGAAAAAAAGCAACGACACATGAATAACGTGTTGAAAGTCAAGTAGTAGTACTTACCATTGGCCTTTCAGTACTGTAAATTCTTTGTCATTGGGTTAGTTTGCCTGCCTTAATGCCTATTTATGTGTGACAACCATAATCTAGCTGAAGGATTTTCAGACTCAAACTCATATTCTCTAATGTGATGATTACAATTTATTACAGGTGCCTATCACGAAAAGCACTCGTTTTTTCAATTAATTAGATTCCCACAGTAGAAGACTCCAATTATTCAGGAGCCAATGCCTATATTTTATGAAATATTTTATCCTCCATACTGATCATTCGTAAGGGAGACACAAGCAATTCTCAAAGTTGTAACTAATATTCTACAACAGTAAAGACTACACAAGGACAATCGGTACAGTCATCCCACCTCTGTGTTTTTCTACTCAATGGAGTGTCCATTAACATACTGGAATCAGTGGACTGAAGTATATTGAGAACTTTGACAGTTGAATTTAGAGTGGTATATATGGATTATGGGCCCAGAGTTTTCTCACTCCACATGTTAAGGTTTGGGAACACAGCTGCCATATATCCCTTTCTTCCTAAAATCTGATCTGGGGTAAATTAGTGCATGATAGTAATTAACTACATTCAAACTCACAAAAATATGATTCTGTTTTTTTACGAAGCAACCTGGGCTTAAATCACAATTACATTTAACATCTGTCTTAATTCCAGACATAGCTTTAAGCTAGTCAAAAAGCAGAAATAAATTTCAGAATTTCTTGTACAATATAAAATAAGAGGGGAGAGTTAAGATTTGGATGGTTCTGAGAAGGCATTGAGATAATACCCTGTTTCCCCCAAAATAAGACATCACCTGATAATAAGCCCAATCGGGCTTTTGAGTGCATGGCAATAAGGCCAAGTGCTTATTTCAGGGTTCAAAAAAATATAAAACAGGGTCTTATTTTGGGGGAAACACAGTAGCAGATATTTTGCAATCAGAAATCCTTTTCTTTTGTATCTTAAAATCAGTATTAAATATTGCTAAAAAAAATTAATAATCATCCCTGGAATTCTTATCTTTTCTCTTTTCTTCTGATGTTCAGAAAACAAACAAGATAAGTAGACAAACAAAAGAAAGAACAGCGATTAAATAAATTAAAATGCACATAACTCCATGTCATAATAGCTACTCATTAAAATCAAGACTTCCCTTTTTTTAAAAAAAACAGTTCACTGCAGCACAATGCTGAAATTGAAAATAGGTGGTGTTTTTTTTTAAAAAGAAAGAAAATTCATTTCACAGCTTGACCAAATATATTTCTCTTAACATATTTAAACAAACATCCAGTTCATGATGTACTAATTGATCTTTTTTATTGTACAAATACAGATTGATCTCACCTGCTCCAATATTGCAATCTATATATTTTGGATATCTACACATATGGGAGGACACGTTTTAAGGCAAAGGGATATTACATTTTCAGGGTTTTTTGCACAAAAATCTTTAAGGATCTCAATTACACAAAGTTAAATGCTTCTTTGAGCAGGGCTGGTGGTGGTGGGGGAATCCCCATAATCTCCTATGGGGGCGGGATGATGTCCACGTTATTTTTCAAACTGTCCTTCAACAATTTGCAACCATGCTTACCATTCCTGCATTCTTTTCTCAAGCTCAGGTAGCAAGAACTGACTATGGAACTGATTTATGGATGAAATATTGGAAAATATTTTATTAACGACTTCAGCTGGAAATGATCCCCGGTTAGCTTCATCCATTAGTTTGCAATAAAAGACCTGCAAAGAATGGAAGACAGAGTTACGCATAAATGCATTCCTGCTCCTCTCACTTTAGCACAAGATAAAAAGTCTCTGGTGTTTATTGGTTATATCAGGTAATCCATCCATAATAATGTTTTAACAATCCCCTGTTGTTATAGCTTCACTTTGTTTTAATGAGATAATACAGAGCTACCTATTCTTGCCCTTCAAAATGGTTTCTTTGCAAAAAGCAAGGCTGTGCAGTGCAAAGGCATAAATGGATTTCAGAAGTAATGGGGGCACCCATGTTGCACTCCTTTGCGTTTTCTTAAAGTATCTGCATCCCCTCACAGAAAAAGTTGCTGACGGATACCACATTCACATCTCCAAAAAGCCTTTTTCCGCTGTGAATCCAAAACACCACACTGTGAAATGACCTTCAAACGTGTCAGTCTTTATTCTAGGAAAGCTGTGCAATCTTCTGAGCCAGCAGATTTTTGATGTATGTGCTGCTTTCCCCCCTCCCTCTTTCCTTCAAAAGTCGTCTTCCTTCACATTTGCTGCTCGTTTAAGTCAAAATATTCACTCCCATGTTACACTGATGAACCATCACATCGAACCTTTTTCGTATTCCGTTTTTACTGAACACAGAAACAGATTGATGTGACAACCTTCACTTATTCGTTATTTCTTTATTTGATTTGTAGACCTGCCCATCTCACTTTTACATGGCCCTCGGACATATCATTTTAAACAGTTCTGAATGCCTAAAATGGTTTAGGTTTTAGGGGATTGGACTAGACAAACTCCAAGGTCCCTTCCAACTCTGTCATTTTGTATTCTAAATTTATAACGATTTACTGGGTGCCACATTGTGATGGACAGCGATGGCGAACCTTTTTGGCACCGAGTGCCCAAACCGGAACGCTGGAGCGCCAAAAACCTGAAGATCAGCTGGCTGACGCGCACGTGCCTGGGTTTTTTGCTGGTTTTTGCTGTTTTTCAGGCTGTTTTCAGGCCATTTCCAGGCCTTTTTTCAGCCGTTTTTCAGGCCAAAAACATTTTTTGGGCCATATCCAAAAATGGCCCAGAAAATGGCCTGGAAAAGGGCTTGTTTTTTGGCTGTTTTTCGGGCCGTTTTCTGGTGCTCCGGCACCTACGAAGATGCACGACGGAAACGAGTAGAGCAGCTGGCGATGGCGCACATGCTCATTCTGCATGCCCCCTCTGGCACGCATGCCATAGGATCTCTTATGGCAGGAGTGTCAAACCCGATCACATTATTGTCTGTGTCATGACGTATCAGGCTGTATTGTGACATATCTGGATTTTTTTGCCTTTGCAGAGCTGGGGTGGGCGAGTCCTGCGCAGGCCATATCTGACCCGCGGGCCACCAGTTTGACAGGCCTGCCTTATTGCTTCCTTCATCAGACCACCACAAGACTTGACTGTAGTTAGTCTTGCTATGAGCTTGCTAAAAGAAATTAATCTAACTACAAAACAAGAGCAACACACTTTATCTGGATTTGGAGGTTACATAATTAAAATCTTAGCAACAATACAAAAGGGATTTGTCTTCTTTTACAATTTGTTTGTGGAGGTAAATTTGTAAGTTTACGGTTCCCTTATAGTCTCTCATTCAACATTAACTCTGTTAACATTTCAACAACATAGTCTACTACAGACTGACACTTGTGACCAACCTATAATGGAAGATGAAGTGTTTTTATGAAATAAAATGAATTCCACTTCTCAAATCGTTGTCTTTTTAGAAAAAAAAACACTAACCAATTAAAACCCCAAGCACACTTGAATCCAAACATATTTTTCTGCCAGGGGAAGAAGTTATTTTTGTAGTTGTCTAACTCAGGAGAAACATGAAATGGAATGTGCAACCTCAAGACTCATTCTTACGTAAACGAGAGTTAACTTTCAGGTCAAAATACAGCCTTAACCTTTACAAAAGCCACACAAAGAGTGTATTTTTTCCCACCAATATTACTAATGAGTACAAAGTTATAAATTTGGGTCCTGATCAGTGTACATTTGAGGATCCCATGGCCGTGTGTCAGAACGCAATTAATGTTGCTAGTTTCTGGCAACATGTTTAATTTATACACATATTTTAATCTTGCATTTAATCTTATCTTAAATTTTATGTCAAATAGTATGCCTTATTTTAATTGTGATGCTTCGGACACAAATAAACAAACAATTTAGGTCTAATACTATAAGCCAACAGATTTGCAATTAGGAAACTGATTTCACTGATGTAAAATTTCCTTTTTAGTAGTCCATTTAGATTCCTGGAGATTTTATGGGGACATCTATCTGGTTTTCCTAGAATCAATACAGAAGTGATTTGCTACTGCTGCCTTCTGGTGTTTTGTTTTGTTTTGTTTTGTTTTAAATTCCCTGTCTAGCCTGAAGCTCAAGGATTTGCTAGTAGTTTTCCATTAAAGTATAGCCAGGTCCACCCAAGATTAGGTTTTTAAGATGAGCCAAAGTCAACTGGGTGTTGCCACACAGCTGCTCAATATTATGTTTTGTAATTTTGGAAAATGTAATATAAAATTTATAGCTCTTTTTAAAGGGCAAATTGTAGCAACAAAGAGTAACTTGCTCATACGCCTCAATATATTTTTAATGTGGCTTGCAGTTGCTATTTGCTTATACATTCTCTATAAAAGACAAAATATAGGGCTTAGTTTAGGGAAAATTTAAAAAAATATTTAAAAAACAAGCAAACTTCAGGGGTCCATGTCACCCCCTTTTCTTTCCAACAATTTCAAAGAGGCTAAAACAGGTATGTAAGGGCTAACTCACAGAATCCCCCAAATCTAGCACTTCTATAGCAGGGGTCTCCAACCTTGGCAACTTTAAGCCTGGTGGACTTCAACTCCCAGAATTACCCAGTCAGCAAAGCAAAGCTGGCTGGGAAATTCTGGGAGTTGAAGACCTCTAGGCTTAAACTTGCCAAGGTTGGAGACCCTTGTTCTATAGAGTGCAGCTTGAAAAAGACTTCATTAAACTATGGTTGGCTAAAAACAAACAAAGAAGCAATTAAAGAGAAAGGCAGGTGAGTAAGAGTAGCTGGAGAAAATCAGCAAAGGTGTCAGAAATTTGAAATGAGAGTATCAGTCAAAGATAAAAAGTTTTGGACAGGGCTTGGAGAATGAAGGATTAGGCAAAAGACAAAAACTTTTAATGAGAAATGCAGAAATATGAGAAAATGACAGATGAGGTACATGGGAGAAGATTGATGGGCATCCTGAAACAAGGATAGAAAGATGGGACTTCTAACTACAAAACAAAGAAGCAAAAACGGAATTCGGCCTGAAGCATAGGGACAAAGAGGAATCCTGCATTATCCCTAAATTGTTAATGAAAAGATAAGGCAGGTTCAATATTGCAAATGAATGACAGGCACTAATCTTAATTGTACTGCTTTAATTATCAATAGCCATAGCACTTAGACTTATATACCGCTCCATAATGCTTTACAGCATTCTCCAAGTCAGAGGTGGGCAAGTATGGCCCTTTTATGATTTGTGGACTTCAGTTCCCAGAATTCCTGAGCTAACATGGCTGGCTCAGGAATTCTGGGAGTTGAAATCCACAAGTCATAAAAGGGCCATAGTTGCCCACCCCTGCTCTATGTGGTTTACAAATGTCACTATATTTCCCCAAAAAAGCTGGGTCCTCATTTTACTGACGTGAGAATGATGGAAGGCTGAGTCAGCATTGAGCCAATCAGGATCAAACTCCCCTGGCTGTGGGTAAAGTTAGCCTGAAATACTGCATTCTAATCACTGCAGCACCAGTGTTCTTAATTAAATATCTGCTTGCTTTTATAATCATATTATTTTGTTATTATTTTTTTCTGTTTCTTTGGCTGCCAACTCCCAGGCTTGCACATCACTTCATAGCAAAGCAGCTCCTTATTAAACTGAAAGGAATTGCATGCATTAGTGTAGCCAATAGCTACAGTAAGAAGACAGTAGTCATAATAAACCACTAGAAATTTAAAGGTAATAAGAGATGACTAATTTCTATTCCAAAACTGGAAAATATGCAGTGCTTTTTATATTTCAAGTCAGAGAGAAAAATCCAAATCAACACAAAAGGAAGCTAGCTAAGATAAAAAAGAAAAAGAAAAAAAGATTATATTCAAAACTCAATTTATGGTCTAATGACCCAGAAAGGGGGAAAATAATTATGCAAAGAATGAAGGTGAGAAGGCAATCCAAAAGGCAGACTCCCATGAAGAAAAATGTTCAGATACAGTATTGGGTTACTGAGAAAAGTTATACTGTAAACAAAAAGAACAGGCTAGTGAATCAGGAGAGCAAAATCAACGCTCGTGGGCTGTGTGACATTTACATTTTTTGGACTGTGGAATTTAAATGGAACTTTATTCCGAAGGGATATGAGTAATTCCTAATTATTTTGTAGTTAGTCATCATTTCAACTGGGAGATGAACGTGGATTTTCCCTTTCTTAGTTGCAAAATTAAATGGGTCTCATGGTTATTAGGAGTGACCAACTAGCCATAGAGTGGCATTTGCCAAAGGGAGAAAATGGACCCCATTGCTGAGAAAAAAATAAGACAGTGGAGGAAATATCTAACCATAATCACTTAGATAACTCTTCTCTTTCCGATAGAGAAAGAATGGCACAGGAAGCTGTACTCTAAAACATTAATTCCCCATCTAGGGTCCACGAGGATAGGTGATTGTATACATTTACAAATATACATGACCTACATCTTGGGAAATCATTATATATTGTCCAATATCTTGGCAGTAATATCAGTATAAAAGGGATGCGGTGGCTCAGTGGCTAAGACACTGAGCTTGTTGATCGAAAGGTTTGCAGTTCAGGGTTCGAATCCCTAGTGACCCAAAACAGGGTGAGCTCCCGTTACTTTTCCCAGCTTCTGTCAACCTAGCAGTTTGAAAGCATGTAATAAATGCAAGTAGAAAAATAGGGACCACCTTTGGTGGGAAGGTAACAGTGTTCCGTGCGCCTTTGGTGTTTAGTCATGCCAGCCACATGACCATGGAGAAGTCTTCAGACAGCACTGGCTCTTCGACTTTGAAACGGAGATGAGCACCGCCCCCTAGATTTGGGAATGACTAGCACATATGTGCAAGGGGAACTTTTACCTTTACCTTTAATTTCAGTATCTCATGATTTGGCCATTTGATCAGAATCCACTAAAAATGAATTATTATTTAAAATAGGAGACCTGCAAATTCCACTGGTGGGGCAGGTTTGACATAATGCTTGTAGTTCTATATTACTGACTTTGGAGTTGAGTGCTGATCTTCAAAAGCTACTGATAATAATGTAATAATCCAGGATTATTACATTAAAGGAAAAGAAAACACTGGTAGAAGATAATACATTTATGAAGATGAGATAGAAGAATGAAATGCTTGTGGAATGCATAGCATATTTCAAAGAGTGATATGTAGATGTTTGGGGATTGTTTGAGAAAATATACATAATATGCTTTAGTTTTAATTCAAGCTAATTTCAAAACAGATTCAGATAAAAAGCTTTCCTGTACATGACTTACTTCATACATAACTCTAAGACCAGGTTTTTCACCGTATTATGGATTAGTATTGCATGTGACCCAAGCAAAAGAATTTCTTCTTATACAGAATTAAAACATTTCTTCACAAAACAAAAAATAAGGAGATGGAAAAAACGTTTACCTGATCCAAGAGAGCAAGTCTGCTCACATAAGCTCTTTCAGTGTGCAAAAGCTCATTTGCAATTTTGTAACATTTTTCTTCATTTGTTTCCTGGAAATACAAGCAATTTTACATTTAGAAGAAAGCTTTAAAAATGTAATTCCTACATTTTAAAATTTTTTTGCAATCAGTTACTGTGTTTATCAAGCAATGATTTTTTTTTCAGAACTCAACTCAACTGAACACAGAAAACTATATGAAAAATCAGAATGGCACAAAAACAATCCAAGGTCTATCTTATAGTGAGAAATAAAATGACAAAAGGAGCTATGTTTAAAAAAAAAGTAAGCATAAATGCTTTTTAATGTGGCCTAGGGGTTTTTGGTACTGTCCATGGGGTTTTCATAGCAAGGAATGAACTTCGAACTATGGTGCTGGAGAAGACGCCTGCGAGTCTCTTGGACTGCAAGGCGACCAAACCAGTCAGTCCTAGAGGAGATCAACTCTGACTGCTCTTTAGAAGGCCAGATCCTGAAGATGAAACTCAAATACTTTGGCCACCTAATGAGAAGGAAGGACTCACTGGAGAAGAGCCTAATACTGGGAACGATGGAGGGCAAAAGAAGAAGGGGATGGCAGAGAATGAGGTGGCTGGATGGAGTCACTGAAGCAGTCGGCGTGAGTTTAAATGGACTCCGGGGGATGGTAGAGGACAGGAAGACCTGGAGGAATGTTGTCCATGGGGTTGCGATGGGTCGGACACGACTTCATGACTAACAACAACAAAGGGGTTTTGAGGGGCTAGTATTAACATTGGAAGTGCTAACTAATAGTATCAATTTATTCAGCAAAAACTTACTATTTTGCTTGCTTGTTTTTTTCCATTTCAGATAAACTCACCAGAGGTGTTTCTATCAACTGTGACCACTTATATGTGTTTAATCCTAATATAGTAGCTTAAGTAACATCTGACATCACTGCATGAAAGCTTTATCCATTTCTTACTTTCCCAGATGCTTTTGACTATTGCAACTTTTTCTTAAATATATAACCTCAAATTGTAATATGTGAAGCGATTTCTTTGGGACTTGTCAATAAGATCTTATATGTATAAGGATATGATGGTTGTTCTGATCATATCTGGAGCCACCATTTTTTGACAGCAACTGAGCCAACTTTGCAGACACCGGCCAACAGTAATTTATATATAAACAGCACATATACATAGTCTTCAATTTACAACTCGCAACTACAGAATTTTCTGCAAGGCAGTTGTTAAGTGAGTTGCGTCCAATTGTACAAGCTTTTTTAATGGTTGTTAAGAAAATCATCCAAGTTGTTAAATGAATCACGTGGTCATTAAGCAAATCCAGCTTCCTCCATTGACTTTGCTTGTCAGAAGCCAGCTGGGAATGTGTAATGAAAGGTTGCTTTGGAGCAGGAGATTTATATAATAGGAAATAAGTGAATAAACAGCTCCTGTATCCATTATTCTATTATACCTTATTTTCCATCTAAAAGTCTTTACACAAATTATGCCACCAAAGAAAATCTTTGTTACAAATGCAATCAAATTCCTTTAAACAACTTTGTCTAGGCCGGTACACATTTTGTGTTATAATGCAATTTACATGAAGCAAATAGTTCACTCTAAAGCTGGTATTGGTTATGTTGGACAAGACATGCAGGCCGAAGTATTATACGCCCATATTCTTTCCAAAGCAGAACTTCACCCAGTACAAATTGTAAACTTTATTTGAACTGCATGCAAATACTCAAGAATGCTGGCTAGGATTAAAAACTGGGACCCAACTTCTAGTTCTAAATTCCACGAAGGCAAACCATATCCGATTGCTTCTAAATTACAGTTGAAATCAGGATGGAATAAATGCATTCATGAATCCTTTGCTTTGTTTGTTGTACTGCAGAATGGACTATTTTTATGAGGTTGAGTATTTTACCCAATTTTCTGACTTCTTCTTACATGTCTTTTCTGTTTTATAGCTACCTTGATGAAGCTATTTTTCCAAGTTGTGTTCATTCCCACATGAAACGCTTATTTCTAGCCTAAATATACCTGCCATTATGGGAGAACCATGGACTGTATTGTCAAAAAACATCTCTCATAGGACATGGTACAGGTACCGTAGTCCTTGACTTACGATCACAATTGAACCCAAAATGTATGTTGTTAAATGGGACATTTTTAAGTGAGTTTTGTCCTATTTATGAGTTTTCTTCCACATTTGTTAAGTAAACCACTGCAGTTGTGAAGTTATAACAAGGTTGTTAAGTGAATCTGGCTTTCCCCATTGAGTTTGCTTGTCAAAAATTCACAAAAGGTAATCATATAAGCCCGGGACACTGCAACCGTCATAAATATGAACCAAGCATCCAAATACAAATCACATGACCACGGGATGCTGCAACAGTCTTAAGTGTGAAAAATGGTCATAAATCACTTTTTTCTGTGCCCTTGTAACTTCAAATGATCACTAAGTGAACTGTTGTAAGTCAAGGACTACCTATATTAGCTGCCATCAAAGGATATATGCTGTAACATTAATTCAGGGATTCAGAGGGTGAGATCAGACTAAGCGGATACCTTTCATCACCTTCTCTAGATATCCACCCCCAGTTTGTTATATATCATTGTATCAGCACCCAGTAATTGCTTTTTCCTGGATATTATTATTATCAAATAATAATTCATTTATTTGGTCCACCTTCTTGGGTTAGTTTGCACTTAGCATTAAGCACCAATATTAATACCTTCAGAACAGGGGTGGGTTCTACTTACCTTTACTACCGGTTCGCAGTGGGTGCGTAAGCGCTTCTGCGCATGTGCAGATCACCCATGATGATGTCATGGCGGGTGGGTGGAGCCTCCCACCGGTTTTACTACCGGTTCTATATAACCAAACCGAACTGGGAGCAACCCACCACTGCTTCAGAATGGCAAAAGAACTGTTCTGGCCATTTAGAGAAATCAGGAGAAGTTTTTAAATTGAGCAAGAATGCCCACTCCAATTGAGAAGGGAACTTCATAACAACCTCCCCCAGGATTACTCCTTAACAGCTGCTTTCATATCTAGATTAATAGTGATACCAAGTGTATTATCATTCCTCCCAGTTTCACAGGAAGGGCGCTTACTCCAGAGTGCTTCCCCTGTTGAACAGAAAGTGTACTCCTACGCAGACAGAGAAACAAATGGGCAATTTCACACAGAGCAATAAACCCTAAACCCTCAGAGCAATTCTCACAAAAACCCACAATTTTATTGACCGTGGCCACTGTGGAGCCAGAGATGACATTTATTCCCTCCAGCTCACCTACAACAGAAGACAATAATTGCCTCTGACCAACAAGTACTGCATCCTGGATTTGACTTGCTTGTGTGTCTATTCACAAGGAAAGAAAAGGAGATCAACAGAGAGGCAGGCACTGGGGAGAGCCTCAGCCAATGGGATGCTCCCTGCTTCAAAGGGGGAGGAGTTCAGTATTTTGAAAAATTTTAAATTGGTGACCCATGAAGATGTCATTACAGAGGTATGGTAATGATCCAGGAGCAGCCCCCCAGTCTGGAAAGGCCCTAATACCGTGATGGTGAACCTATGGCACGCGTGCCACAGATGGCACATGGAGCCATATCAGTGGCACCCGAGCATTGCCCTAGTTCAGCTGCAGTGCACATGTGCATGCTGGCCAGCTGATTTTCAGGCCTTCCGGGCCCACCAGAAGTTGGGAAACAGGCTGTTTCTGGCCTCCAGAGGGCCTCCAGGGATGGGGGTGGGGAAGGCCCATTTTTCGCTCTCCCCAGGCTCCAGAGGCTTTCTAGGGGGTGAGGTGCATTGTGTTATGGGTGTGGGCATACATGCACGTGACTCCCACTCGCTCCCCCCGCTTTTGGCACGAGATGGCAAAAAGGTTAGCCATCACTGCCCTAATACCTAGATTTACATCATGAAATATAGGTAGCCCTCACTTACTGACTGGGCAACTGGGAATGATAACTGTTGCTAAGCATCACGGTCATTAAGTGAAATGTCATGTGACTGCACCAACTTATAATAGTTCCAGCTGCAATCATTAAGGAAACACCATGGTCTGTTAAACACAACATGAAGCGACCATAACTTCCAATCTCCTGCTGGTTTTCCCATTGAGTTTTTCTTGTCAGAAGCTGGCTGTGAAGTGTCACAAATTTTATTTTACTTTATTTATTTATAACATTCATTGGCTGCCCATCTTACCTCAGGATAACTCTTATAATTATAAAAAAATAAAACTGTATAAAAATAATAAATAATAAATAAATGAATGAAAAAATTAAATTAAATTAAATTAAAAATAAATAAAATTAAATAAAATTAACATAAACATAAACCATGGGAGGCTGTAACTGTCATCAATGTGTGCCAACTGTCAAGTGCTCAAATCAGAATCATGTGACTGTCGGATGCCACTTCAAAAACCAGTTGTAAATCTTTTTTTTCAGCACCACTACAAATTTGTACTCTGAACAAGTGGTTGGTAGAACAGGATTATCGGTAAAGGAAAGGCTCCCCCATTTCAAGAGGCTCTCCACTCTAATGCAATCTAATCAAAAGTCGTATCAAATTTCTACAAGTCTAAGAATATGTGGAACCCGTACCAAAGCGGTTCTCATGACGATCAGAAGCTTCTTTACAAAACGTTATTTACTCATGTGTAAATCACTATTCTGCATAATCTAGACTTCTTACCTTTGTCTCTGTGTTAGGGTCTCGCTGACTGCTTTGCTCCACCCGCTTCTCTTCCTTATTGGCAATCATCTCTCCAGCTTCTTTTACAGATGGGAATGAATTTGCACCCGGAGCCCAGTGATGGCTCTTGATCTTCTGCCCCTTGCAAGTTGCTGTGGTTGGCAATGAGTCCGTACTAGTGTTTCCTCTTTCTCCATTTACCAAACTGCTATCAACTGCATCACAGTCATTTTGAATGTTTCTGCAGGCACGGTGGGCAGACCACTTATCTTGGCAGTCCCACTGATTCTGTGCTATTATGCCATTGGCTGTGTGATTCTGTATATCCTGAGACCAATCTCTACTGTTTCCCTGCTCGTGTAGGGGATGCTGGATGAGGAATTTTGGCTGAGGTGATGGCACCGGTCCATACTTTCCTTGAGGTTTACCAACATTTAAAACAGAAGAGTCTTTCTTCAGCTCATTGGAAAAGGATGTGCTAAAAAGAATAAAACACAGAAACTGAATCCTGATGTGTAAACATATATGCAAAATTAGCATAAAAACTAAAACAATACACTAATCAAGGAACCATCCAGGAGAAAACCACACCTCTCCAAAACTGAAAGAGCAAGCTACTGTATATAAAACAGGGAGCAATTCCTTACCCACTTGCACGGATGAAGTTACCTAGTTAGGTAATGAAACATCTGCAAGCAAACAACCAAGCTCAGAGACCACCAAGGACTCCAGAGTATAAAAAGCAACTGTGAGACAGAGATTCAATCACAACAATAATCTTATTAAAGATTAATAAGGAGTCGAGGACTGAGATTGCTGATTAGATTGAAGTGAGGAAAGCCTGGCTTTGTGTTTACTTGCAGGCCTGGCCTTCTTCGCAAGTTATCTGTCTGTATATGTCTATTATCTCTGTCTGTCTGCCTGTCTGCCTGCCTGCCTGCCTGCCTGCTTACCTACCTACCTACCTACCTATCTGTCTGTCTGTCTGTCTGTCTTATCTATTTATCTACGGTATCTATCTATCTATAGACCGTAGATAAATAGATAGACAGATAGATAGATAGGTAGGTAGGCAGGCAGACAGACAGACAGAGATAATCTATCTATCTATCTATCTATCTATCTATCTATCTATCTATCTATCTATCTGTCAATCTATCTACGGTATCTATCTATCTATGTTATCTATCTATCTATGTTATCTATCTATCTATGGTATCTATCTATCTATCTATCTATCTATCTATCTATCTATCTATCTACAGTATTTATCTATTATCTATCTATCTATCTATCTATATCTATCTGTCTATCTACAGTATCTATCTATCATCCATCTATCTATCTATCTATCATCTATCTATCTATCCATCCATCCATCCATCCATAAATACATACATACATGCTCCCATTTTTGCTGGAGATTGGAGAAAGGGTTGAGATTCTGCTATTATTAATGAAAGAGGTCTAACCTGGATCTTCTGGCTACTCTATCCTTCCTGCTCTATCAAACTGGCTACTTTTTAATACCTGAAAACTTTCTTGATGTAAGCAGCAAAAGAAAAAGAAAAAAGAAATCTATAGAAAACAACATATCAGAAGCATATCCTAAGTTAAATAGTTTGTTTGTAGGTAGAAGTTTTGAACACTTGAAGATATTTATAGCATCAAAGAAAGGCTTCCTGTGTCAGGAACAGCTGGTGTTGTGCTACCTGCCCTTTGGAATGAGATTCCCCCCTGAAATGGTGTGGCTTCTACCCTACTGACATTCCAGTGGTGGGTTGCTACCAGTTCGCCCCGGATCAGGTGAACCAGTAGCGGCGGTGGGGGCTCCGCCTACCCACCAGACACTTCTGAGCATGCGCAGAGGTGTTGCACGTTCGAGCGCCCATGAGCGAACCGGTAGCGACAGGTTTTGAAACCTGCCCCTATGACATTCCATAAGGTCTTGGAGACCTGTTTGTACTCCCAAGGCCTGGGGTGAAGACCAATGGGGTCTTTTGTTGGGTGTGTTTTTATTTTTGTTTTTCTGCTTGTTTAACGTGCTCAGATTCCACATTATTTTTGTTTCTTATTGCTTTTTATGTTATTGTTTGTGCATGGCCTAGAGTCAGTCAATGTCAGGCAGTGTCCAAAATGGAATTAAGTAATAATCAAAAGAGCCTAAGCAACTGAAGATGTGATGAGGATGAGGATGAGGATGATGAGGATGATAATGATGACACTGATTGGGATGAAGGGAATGAGAGGGAGAAAGAGTAGGAAAGAAGGTATGCAGGATTCCTCTGTAGTGAAAGCCAAGAATAATGAATGGAAGTCTTCAATGGGTCAAATGGCAGGTAGAGAGGCTGCCATTTGAGGATGGAAAGGAGGTATAATAAAAACATGGCGAAAGTAGTTAGCGCTCAGACTATGGTCAGCAACTTAGTAAGGGATTTTTATAAAAATGGCTTGTTTCTTTTTAGCTCTTTGTTGGTTTTAAATATTCCCCAGAAATGCTTTCCAGTATGTGCATTATCATTATTTTCTTGGAAAAAAAATAAAGAACGAACTGGAAAAGGGGCAAATCTGATAGTGGTTTGTATGGCTAACACATTTTAAACTGTTTGTTTATAACTTTGCTTTACAAAGGAAATTCAAGAGAAAAACAAAAAATTAAATTAAATTCAATAATTCTAAAGGACAGCTTTTTGAAATAAAGGACTGTCCTTTATAATAAAGGAGAAATAACCACTGAAATTATAATAAATAGGTTCAAACACCATGCTGGACCCAAAAGAAAAGATATTATTTGTTAGTCCTATGTAAGAACCTTAGCTTCAAATGTCTTGACAAAGTAGAAGATTGTTAGGTATTATGCAGAGGGAGGTGGGTTTGCTTGTGCATCTGCATGGGTTAAAAGAAAGAAATCTATCCCCTTCTTTGTGTCAAATGTTTTCTTCTTTGTAACCCAAGATGTAATGGTTTTAATCAAGCACCAATTCATGGGAATCAAATATTCCAAGATCATACCACTGAATTTGACAGGAAGTTCACAGACTAAAGTGGCACAATTTTCTGGCCTTTTTTCCCAGCAGTAGATTAAAGAAAACCAAAAGGCTAATCTTTGTGTACGTTCAGAGGTGGTATTCAGCAGCTTCTGACCAGTTCTGGAGAACCAGTAGTGGAAATTTTGAGTAGTTCGGAGAACCGGTAAATACCACCTCTGACTGGCCCCGCCCCTATCTATTCTCTGCCTCCTGAGTCCCAACTGATCGGGAAGAAATGGGGATTTTGCAGTAACCTTCCCCTGGAATGGGGTGAGAATGGAGATTTTACAGTATCCTTCCCCGGCTACACCCACCAAGCCACACCCACAGAACCAGTAGTAAAAAAATTTGAATCCCACCACTGTGTACATTTAATAGAAAGGCAGAAGTATAAAGGTGGGATAGACTCATATTGAAACTGGGGAGGGGGGAGGGGGGAAAGGTCTTGTTCTCTCTTCTGTGAAACAGATTGCTTGTAGAAGAAAATAGGGGAGACCTCTGTAGATTAGTTTGTTCTCTTGATCAAAACAACTTTATTACTCTAATAAATCAAATAAACAAACACATATTTTTCTTAAAAATACTGTTGTCGTTTCTCCCCCCTCCCCCAATCAACAATTGCTTTTCTAAGGATTGGTATAATATTTGCTCATCTAAGGTCTTTGCAGTAATTTTCCAGACCTTCCCTCCCCAAATTTCTGGAAAGCATCAGGCAACAACTAAATTGCAAATTTATGCAGATTCTTGTTCCAGTCAATACACAGTTCCATCACCATAACAAACAGCATAAATGGTGAAACAAAAAGCCTAATAATTACATTCCCTTTACATAGAAAAGGATGCAATCTGGGTATTTTATTTCTACTTTTTATACATCTCAAGATGTGCATACCCTTTGCCTATTAAAAAAATACTAATATTGATGTTAAATGAAGCTATTCAGTTCACATACTACTGGCACTAATTTTATACATTTTAATTCTTTCCCCAATATAATATTCTTTATACTGGATTTGTATCTGAAATATACCACATTGTAAGCATGCAAATAAATATAGGAAACTCTTATACAGAGTTGGGCTACTTGTTCATTTAACCAGCACTATTTACTGCAGGTATATCAATCACTAATGCTAAAACAGATTATAATTATTATTTGTGTAATTCTCAAGCTGATCAAACTATGGTCTATTTTGCAAAAAGCCATGATTTGTGGATTACAAATTCCAACTTATTTATTCCATTATTACAATTATCTATATTAGGCGTGCAGTGGTGGGTTCCTCCCGGTTCGGCCCAGTTCCGCCGAGCCGGTAGTGGTGACGATATGATGTCACCGAACCCATTCTGCCCCCCCGCCCCCCCCGTTATTCTTACCTTTTATTTGGCCCAACCCCCAATCTATTGCTGCCTCCTGAGTCCCAGCTGATGGGCTATAAGGAAAAAAACTGTTTAAACTCTTGCTGCGGGACTTCAAAGGGCCACCCTACAGCTGATCAGTGGTAAAAGGCAGTTTGGTGGTAGACTGGTGCCTCCAAAAACAAATGAGTAGACCGGTGCCTGCAAAAATAAATGGGTAGAGCAGTGCCTGCAAAAATACATGAGTAGACCGGTACCTGCAAAAATACATGAGTAGACCGGTGCCTGCAAAAATAAATGGGTAGACCAGTGCCTGCAAAAATACATGAGTAGAGCGGTACAGCTCTACAAGCAGTTAAAAGCCTGGTAGACCAGTACCTCTGCTAAATCCTAAAGAATTGTCACATGACCATCAAGCCATGCCCACAGAACCGGTAATAAAATTTTTTAGAACCCACCCCTGTAGGCGTGTCCGATCCACAGCCCCATGGGCTTATGAGGCCCTGGACAGTTATTAATGCAGACTCACAAGATAATAAAAATATTAAAACATAAAGGAAGTTTCTTATTTTTATATATTACCTATATTATATAGTTAATATATTATACAGCTCAAGACAATTCCTCTTCACTCAATGCGGCTCAGTAAAGCCAAAAGGTTGGACAACCATGATTTATATAGTGTCCTCAACCACCACACTTGGACATTTAAAAATCCATGAAACAACCCCATAAAATTCCAAAATAAAACAAGGGAAGAAACATTTATAAAACTCTTGGGTCCCAGATACCAGCGAAAACCTACCTTTTCCATCTTCCTGAAGACCGTGTGTGGCACCAGTGTGGCTTCTAAGGGCATTTCCATAATAAGGGGGCAACCACATAATAATAGTTTTAACAACATGGCTATGTTTGGGCTATGATGTGTTTTTTGCTAGCTTCATACAATGTGCTAAGCCATTGTTTGTAACCCACATTTGAAGTTCACACCTGCTGAGCCAAAATTAGGGCTACCATGTCTGCATTGGAAAAATCATGATGACCATGCACAGGTAAAAAAAAAAACTTGTAGAAAATTCTAATTTTTTGCTGCCTTCTAATAGTAATCTAGATATTTTTCAGTCCAGATGTAATACAGTAGCTCTAGCCAAAACCAAACTAAACATTTAGCATGATGTATGAGCTGAGTTGTAACTTTGGCTTAATCCTCATTAATTTTGCTCACTATGAAAAAGACAGGAGACAAAAGGAATTGGTTTCCAATCTAGCTCTCTCATACAATCTGCCAGTCAGAAGGAGTCTCTCTCTCTCTCTCTCTCTCTCTCTCTCTCTCTCTCTCCTACTCTTCTCTCAGAAGCACAACCCCACAATAGTCATCTATCTTTGCAGGTAACGGGAACAAAAGAAGATTTAAAAGAAATCACAACAGCTCTGACAGCGAGATTGTATGTTCAAAGCCCTAATTTAACTTTAATGAAGCATGCTGATTTTTTATATCACCCAAAATGCAGTGTGAGATGGCGATGAATTTATCTACTGGTGCCTCTTTCTGCACCACTCCAATTTATCAGTGCTATTTATCACTTTGCTCAAAGTAACTACTCCCTTCTGCAAGATATTCCTCTACCATGTGTATACTTTCATCTTTGCTTCTCCCTAGGATAGGGGTGTCAAACTCGATTTCATTGAGGGCCACATCAGGGTTGTGTTTGACTGCGGGAGGCCAGGGTTGGAGGTGGCCAGGGTGGGCGTGGCCAGCTTGATGTCACTCATGTCGGGGGCACCTGTGGGGACCCGAGAGCTCTGCCAGGGAAAAGAGGCTCCCAAGCTCCATTTTCGGCTTCCTGCAACCCTCTGCCACTGAAAATGGAGCTCGGGAGGGCTGCCCGTGGCCCTCATGAGCTTCATTTTTGGCTGCGACGGTATCCTGCAACTCTCTGCCAGTGAAAACAGAGCTCGGGAGCTCCGTTTTTGCTGGCAGATGCGGGCCAGTCCTTTGCTGTTTTTAGGGTGGCCCTATGGGCCAGATCTAAACACCCCGTGGGCCAGATCTGGCCCCTGGGCCTTGAGTTTGACACCCCTGCCCTAGGATAATTTTTATGGAACCCAACAGCTGGACTAATTAACTTCACCAGACTCCAAATATTTAATGGAGTTCAATCATCCCCAACTCCTTATTGCAATGGTGCCCTTTTATTACCTTTGATTAAAAATGGTTAAACTGCAACTGCCAGCTCATTTGCATGAGGACTCCTTATCTTCTATTTCCCAGTCACCTGCATCTTAGATCACTCAGCAGATAAGACCCACAAACCAAGGGAAAAAATTCTAGAATGAAAAGACAACACATTTTTGTTCTGGAATGAAGCTAACCAACATGGAGGCCCCAGAAGATTTATGTATAGATATCTAATGTTTTATCATTCAATGCATATGATGAACTTCCTATAAAAACATTTAAGTAAGTTGCAACTATAGAACCTACATCTTGTCTTTCTTATAATAAGTTGGCAACTGTAAGTCTGAATAAGAGAGATGCTAAATCTAGATAGTATAAGTAGCAGGATGCTTCAATCAAGAAGAAGTGGGGTTATTACATGAAGCTGCTGGACCATCTGCCACCAAGACATTGTCCACTTTTAGCCGATCAAGAAAGTCACGTCAATACAAAGGCTATCTGGTATTAGTAAATTAACTCTGTGGTATTTATATGGAACCACCTATTCTTCTCAAGACTTATCTCATTCAGAGAAAGATTTTATCCAACTTCTTCTTGGACTGCTATCAAGAGGATGTTTCGCCTTAGAAAAGACACAGGTGAGTCTTCGAAGTTTGGAAAGGAACAAAGAAAGATAAAACACAGTGCTAATGGAAATCTGCTACTATAGATGCTCATATTAAATATGCTTTCTGAAGTAAGAATCTCATTATGACCAGATCCTTTTTCCTGAATTGGACAGAAGAAAAAAAATTATATACCAGAACAAATAAGAGGAACAATGTAACCATGACTTATGAGAAAAGCATGGATGTTAGCAACCTGTTGGGATGGAAATCTTAAAAAGAGCAAATGGGTGGGATGCAAACAAGAAATACAAGTAGTCCTTGACTTACAACAGTTCATTTAGTAACCGTTGGAAGATACAACGGCATTGAAAAAAGTGACTTATGACATTTTTCACACTTATGAACGTTGCAGCATTCCCATGGTCATTTGATTTGTATTTGGATGCTTGGGAAATGGCTCATACTTATGACCATTGCTGTGTCCCGGGGTCATGTGATCATCCCCTTTTGTGACTTTCTGAGAAGCAAAGTCAATGGGGAAGCCAGATTCACTTAACCACAATGTTACTAATTTAACACCTGCATAGATTCACTTAACAAACATGGCAAGAAAAGTTGTAAAATGGGGCAAAATTCACTTAGCAAATTTCTCACTGAGCAACGTAAATGTTGGACTCAATTGTGGTCGTATGTTGAGGACTACCTGTATTGGCTTGATGTTTAAAACAGACAAGAACTCTTGAAAAATAAAGGACAACCAATTCTAAAACCTCAAACGAAAGACAAAGTTCTTTTAAATGAATAATCATGGTTTTGGCTTATACTGAAAATGGTAACAGGGGAAAAGGAGATTTGCAGCAATATTATACTAATTTGGTAACATTACTAAAATTAACTAAGCTTTTCATCTTTTTGCTATCAAAAGTCTGCATGAACACAGCTTGACCTAAGCCAGGGCTAGAAATCATGAGCAGGCCTGGGGCCTCATATGACCCTCATCCTCATTGCATAAGTCTACTAATAGCAATTAATTTAGATTTCCATCCAAGTGAAATCTGTCCTAGCCTGCTGCACATTGAGGGGGAGAGAAAGTAAAAAGAGATGTGATAATGAGTAAGAGAGGAAATGTAGGCGGTTAGAAAAAGAAAGAAATTGGGCGATTTTCTCTATTTCTTACATTTACTCACTCTTCATGTATCACTCCCTAAAAGTAATCCCTGCTGAAGGCAGTTTTCAAAAGAGATCAGGTATTATTTCTGCTTAAGTTCTGATCATTGTATGTAAGCACACACACTCCTGTGTGTCGTGATAATATTGGTTTTCATTTCCGGCTAAAATTGATCCGGTCCAATCAATAATGCATCATCATTCAAATTGTGCAATTTAATAAATCAACCATAGCAACTGTCTGTCCTCGCCATTAAAAATTGGAACATGTTCTTCCTCTTCATTTATTATCATCACATATGCTCATTTCAATCTGCAACCTTTGAATAAAATGAAATGTGTTTACCTGCCTCCTTCAAAATGACTGATGAGATCAGACACTTTACTAGATTTTTCTTTCGAGACACAAGAAGAGATAGGTGTAATTTCCTCCATTCTTGGCTTCGTGGTATACAAAGCTTTAGACTTAGGGGTTTGGTGGGTAATGGATGGCTGTGAATTCTGCAGATGTAATGGCTTTGGAGGCACTGCAAAGAAAAAGCAACACTACTTTTCATATTCGTAGGAATTTCACACACCAGTGCTATTCAAAGCAGTGACTTTAAAACTTGTCCTCTTCAGTGTGATGCCCTCAAAATCTTTTGAAGTACCACACTCACATTCTTCAAGTCAAGAGTGCCAGGAGTTCTTTTACAAAATATTCAAGGCAAGTTTTTTCATTACTATAGATTCATAACTGATGTTCTAATAATTTAGAAGTTAACATTGTATCAGTCAACGTTATGCCCTGCTGAAGGATGTTTCTTGGATTGCCTAAAGGTAGATTAGGAACAGTTCAATAGAAAGCAATGCCTACTCTTATTACTATCTGGCATACATTAATATGTCTTGTGGGTATGCTTTGGCCTATTTTTTTTTACATCCTAGATATCTAAAAAGACAAAGATATACTTGCAATCCAGCCAGTGGTGAAATCCAATTTTTTTTACTACCGGTTCTGTGGGCGTGGCATGGCTTAGTGGGTGTGGCTTGGTGGGCGTGGCAGGGGAAGGATACTGCAAAATCCCCATTCCCTCCCCATTCCTGGGGGAAGGATATTGCAAAATGTCCATTCCCAACCCACTCTGGGGCCAGCCAGAGGTGGTATTTGCCGGTTCTCCGAACTGCTCAAAATTTCCGCTACTAGTTCTCCAGAACCTGTCAGGACCTGCTGGATTTCATCCCTGAATCTAGCACTCTACTGTTCATTCTACCAATAATCCACCCAAAAGATCATGAACCTAAGTTATTTTCATTATTATCCGGAAATCAATAAGATTGTTACCAGATATGAATTTAGCCAACTTATCCTGAGCATCCCAACTTCTCTTTCTAGAAATGAACTGTAATCACATTGAAAACATTTAGATTTTTCTCAGATGTCTGAAGTATCAATAATTTTCCCTTATCTGAAAACATTGCATATTAAAGCTCATTAAAGAAGCGTATCATCAAAGGGGAAGCCCTTTATATAATCAGACGTTAGTTTTCTTGTGTCAAATGTTCAAAAATATAAAATGTAACACACAATCCTTGTTTAATGACTGCCTCATTTAGCAACCATTTGCAGTTACAACAGGGATGGGGAAAAAAGTAACTTTATGGCCAATTAATTACCTTTACAGATCTATAAAGCAAAGGAAAGCTGAAAAAAAATTGTAAGCACAGTCATGGTTTCAACTAATGACCAACAACCAAGCTTAACAACCAAGTTGCTGGTCCTAATTGTGATTGCTAAACTAGGACTACCTATGTGGGCTATTCAAAAACAATTCATCCTATCAGGGGTGAAATCTAAAATTTGTTACTACCGGTTCTGTGGGCATGGCTTAGTGGGGGGGGGGGTAATATGACTGGGTGGGCGTGGCCAACTTTTTTTTTTTACTTTTAAAAGCATTTTTTCTACAACCTTAAGAGGTTAAGAGGTTGCAGAAAAAAATGCTTTTAGGAGCCTCTGATGATTAGGCAACTCAGCTGGGATCGCCAGAGGCTTTTAAAGGCTTTCTTTTTTCTACAACCTCTTTAGCTGAAGAGGTTGTAGAAAAAATGGTTTTAAAAGTAAAACAAACAGCCTCTGATGATCGCGCAGCTCAGCTGGGCATGGGGGCGGGGTGCAAGGATTTTTGCTACTGGTTCTCCGAACCACCCGCCGCCATTGCTACTGGATCGGGCAATCTGGTCCGAAACCGGGAGCATTTCACCCCTATGTCCTATTTCAAAGCTCTTTAAGGCCCAGTTTCAACTTTCTCCCTACATCAGGAGTGTCAAACTGGCGGCCTGCAGAGCAGATGCATCACGCACAGGCCACACCCACCCCAGCTCCATGAAGGCAAAAACATTGCGAAATGTCACATGACCGCAACATGATGCCACGATTTTGACACCCGTGCCTTACATGATTTCATACAACCTGGCTAGAAAGGCAGGGAGCTGCAATGACTTCCAACATAGAATAAAGAACAGGGAAATTAAATCTACTACATTATTTATTATTATTTAGTGTATGGCCTGCCAGCAGTTGCTACTACATCTACTACTAGATACTACTAGATCTATCACAGATATAGGCTTATGCAAGAAGAATGTACATATTTAAAGACTGGCCTGGTGATGTGGATTATTTGATTCTTTCTCCACCTCAGAAACACAATCTACTTCTAATGCCACACTAACTATCAATTACAGAATATGTGAGCAAGCTTTTAACACTGTCAACATTAGAGAACAATCGCAGCTAAAAATGCTTTATCAATCCAGCATTTAATGAGAATGGAGAAGCTACAAATTGCTTTTTATCAGATTTCTCTAATTAGGTGAAAGAGCTGTAGATATCAGGGCTACCATACAAATGGATCTTCAAAAGCTGCAGTTTCCATATAGTTAGGCAGATTACAAACTATAGAAAAGGAGCTAGTAAAGGCTTTACTGCTACTACTGCTATCCCGATGCCACCAACAACGATTAAGAACTTTAATTCAGCTGTGGACCATTGCTGCAGTACTTGATCATTCTAACACATGAAGTTGTCGCAAACAAAATTATCTACAAGCCAACAAATCTGCTCCACAAAACCAGAAACGCATAGAGATTTATAAATCAATTATTCCAGGATGTAAAGGACTGCACACAACGGAGTAAAATCAATTGTAACAACAAAATCACAGCAGCATTTCAGCTGATCCTCTTCTGTAATAAACTCAGAGAAGAAAATGGAAGGAAATTGTCAGGTGCGAACAACCAGACTCAACACATATAAAGTTCAAGCTAACTACTTTATTATGTTCTGCCTATTAATTTCTGCCAACTTTAAGTATTAACTTCTGCCAACCTAGCAGTTCGAAAGCACGTAAAAAATGCAAGTAGAAAAATAGGGACCACCTTTGGGGGGAAGGTAACAGTGTTCCGTGCCCCTTTGGCGTTTAGTCATGCCGGTCACATGACCATGAAGACATCGTCAGAAGTGCTGGCTCTCCGCCCCCTAGAGTTGGGAATGACTAGCATATATTTGCGAGGGGAACCTTTACCTTTTTACTATTAATACAGAAATGTCCTCAGACTGGCAGCCTTATCTTGGGAACAAATAGATAATGTTCCAGGAACTTAGAGGAAGGGGGAGAGAGGGGATCGGTCCTAGCCCTTTCATGATGGCGCAGTGACTCCAGGCTAACTTCATGCTTATGCTCTCCTCCCTGCCAGGTGATTCTAGGATAACTTGCTGCAACTCACCATGGCCAACTCACAGCTGAACAACTCACTGTGGGACCAGAGTTATACTAATATCAAGAAGTATTTCAGCATGGCTAGTCTAGTGAAGAGAAGGACCAGGGGAGATATGATAGCAGTGTTCCAATATTTGTGGGGTTGTCACCGAGAGGAGGGGAGTCAACCTATTTCCCAAAACACTGAAGGCTAGACAAGGAATAATGGATGGAAACTGATCAAGGAGAGATTCAACCTAGAAATAAGGAGAAATTTTCTGACAGTGAGAACAATCAACCAATGGAACAGAAGTTGCCTTCAGAAGTTGTGGGAGCTTCATCACTTGAGATTTTCAAGAAGAGATTGGACTGCCATCTGTCAGAAATGGTGTAGAGTCTCCTGCTTGGGCAGGGGGTTGGACTAGAAGACCTACAAGGTCCCTTCTAACTCTGTTCATCTGTTAAATGGTGGAATAGAATAATAAAAGAAAGGATATCAAAGGAGGGGCAAAATGAAATGTGAAAGACAAAAATTAAAATATTTTTAATTATTTTAAATAATTAAATCAAATTGTAGAATTGCCCCTTGGCAAGTTGGCCATGGTGAGCTTGCTGTTTACTGCGGCAAGTTGGCAAGAGCAAGTTGTCCCATTCCGCTGCCAGTTTGGGTGCTTCCCAACAGAAACGATGGGATCACTCCTGGAAGGGCAATTTTCACAATTACCCTATTTTTATTGGAACTGCCATAACAACTGAGTTACGACTGGTTGCTTAGTGGTCATGTGACTGTAATATACAATGGGTTCCCCCCCCCGAAACTGATGTTTATTTCCAGCGTCTGACAAAAAACGCCCCATAGAAAACAATGGTATTTGCTTAACACTGCAGAAAAGGTGATAAATTGGGCATAATCACGTGATGACTCGCTTTATGATAATCAAGATTTACAAACGAAACTGTGGACTCAATTACAGCCACAAGTTGAGGACTACCCTCGACTTTCTCAATTTTCCTCTAGAACAGATTGGGAGATCTAGACCAGGGGTTCCCAAACCCTAGTCAGTGGATCAGCACCAGACCGCAGCATGCCAGAAACCAGGCCGCGCAACCAAGCGAAGCCCCATCCGCGGGATGCAGGCAGCATGCAAAACCACGCCCCCTCCATTCCGCGGAAAAAACTCTCTCCACGGAACAGGTCCCTGGTGCCCTAAAGGTTGGTGGTCATTGATCTAGATCAACGAACAACAGACAATGGTTGAAATTTGGAATATACAACTCACAGAGATGATAAATCTTCTGAAGGGAAGGGGAGAAACTGAGACCAATTTGCAAGGCAAAAGGAAAGCACTCAAATGTCCAAAGGAAGAGGAAGAAGCAGCTTAAATGAATTAACGGATCGCATTTAAAACCAAAAGGCAAATATCAGATACTGTATCTGCCTCTTTCCATAAGAAATGCCAGAAGTACTAGTCTGAATAAGTGGAAAAAATAGTACATGTTTAAAGATTCGCTTCCTTGCCAAGAAACACGCAGCCCTGCAACCAGATTGCTGTGCCAGAAAGTATAATGATGGTGAAAGGAAATAAAACTGCCAGTTTGGGAGGACCAGTGTTTCTCAAATAACACTGAACAAGTACCACCTACTCTAAGTGGAGCCCAGCTGTGATGTTCCCTGCTCCTAATGTGTCTTCCTGGTTAGAGAGTATGATTTAGAATAAAGTGACAGAACTCCAATAATTAATTATGAGGAAAAACACAGCTCACATGTGTTTCTACTGATGTCTCACTGC